TTTACTCTAATCTCTTTATCGAAATGACGCATTTTTAAAATAATTCTGCCAACGGAATGAGGAGCTTAAGAAATGAAACAAAAAGCAGGAAATAAAGTTACTCATATCCCATATGAGATTAAAAACACAATGAACGCTTTATAAAATGTAAGACAGATATGTCATCGGATAAGAATATACCTTGAGACCCTTCTGTAATTCGATAGGCACAAGAAGTAAATGTGAGATAACGTTGACAGGATGTTTCACTTTTCTAAATAGGCCCCTATCTTTTATCCCCCAAATCCCCTCTCTCGCTTCGCAGATATTTTCTTCACTACGACAGCATCAATACCAGATACCTAAACCTGGCGTCATTTTAAGCAGGCAACCTAAACTGAATCGATCATTTTTTCTATCATTCACAGTCTGCTGTTCGTTGACCATGTAAAAAGGTTTTTGGCTTTCTCTTTTCAATGGTAGTAGCACGTGCTTCGTGCTCCCGCGGTTGCCATAGACGCTGGATAAGCCAATCAAGGACGGCGTCCTGGTTTACAGAGAACGCAAACCGCAGTTTTCCGATTATAAATTTTCACCCAACTTTTTTTAGCAGCGAGATCCGGGATTCTGCAGTCACGCTGAACGTTAATCTGACAGCGTGTGACACCAGCGGAAAAGCTACAGCCCNCCCCCCCCCCCCCCCCAATCGCCTCCTTTCATCAGGTCACAGTTACTCGTGAAATGATTTCTATCAATAGACTATAGTAGAGGACAAATTTTCAAGTCCTAAAAGCCTCTAATATGACAGCAACTTTTCAGGCTTTTTCTATGGGAGTCGCGTGGGACGGACCGAGCCGCAACGTTTTCTTTTATGCTCCAATGAAAGACTGAGTCATTTACGACATTATCTTAACTAGCCTGAAACTACGTCGACTCTCTGTCAGGTGGGAGATGACAACCCTCCCCGAGGCGGTGTAATATAATCCCAGGCAATTTCCAAGTCATTAATTCTGACCAGAGATATATATAGAAATGGCGGGGACTGTGGCAGGCCATGATGCGTCAGGATACTTAACATGAGAGACATGGGCTACGACAGAGATCTATGGTGTACCCGATTCACCCCTTTGTCTTTGACAGCCGCGACACAGACCTTACGTTGTCTTCATATTTTTTATTTTTCGAAAAAACTGATTTATGAAGCTTTTCTTTAATTGTCCTTAAAAATGTGTGTTAATAAATAATAAATAGTTTACCATACATCAGTATATTTCTATGCTATTTTTTATTATTTATATTTTTTCTAAGTGCAGTAGTCGCCCTCATCACAGTCTTGAAGGCAATATGCACGGTATAATAGTTCGTTTAAGTTTTAACATGATGGACTGTGTCTCGTTTTAGAGAGAGAGAGAGAGAGAGAGAGAGAGAGAGAGAGAGAGAGAGTACACAGAACAACAGTTATAACTAATGTCCGTCACACCACTCCATTACACAAAATAACAAGTGAGTTTATATTTGATATCCGTCATTCTCTCAGTAAAACAATTACCCACAGCACAGCTTGTCTGTCTCTCTAACATAGATACCCTTAGAAACCCAATACCTCTGCTCCCAATAGGGACGATTCCATCAAGACCAAAACCCTTTAATCACAATCTATTGGAATTACCCTCAATTTTATTACGCCACACAAATGACAAGGCAGCACAAAGAGGACCTGTTATCCACCCTCAGAATGTGAAGTAACGGCAGAAATCACCCTGGAACAGCGCAGCGGTTTGACGGCGTATCGGGGCCGATAACGGTATCGAGTTGACCAGCTATTAAGCGGGCCGCAGTGCACCTGTGGTGTGTATAGGGCTGACCGCTGAGGGAGGAGCTAGTCTTTCGCGATGGGTCGGGCATAGATGGATGGAAGGAAAGAGAGGTGTGAAGGAAGGGGGAGAAAGAAGGAAGGGAGTCCACTGAATGCACCCCCACCCCGATCAATTCAATTGTGTAGACTGATTCACATACATAAATGTCTGAATGAAGTCACTCATCTCTCAAACACGTCCTATACACACCCGCGCTTAATTCATTGACACAGACCTTAAGTTTTTTACAACACACACACACACACACACACACACACACACAGAGCAGAGAGAGAGAGAGAGAGAGAGAGAGAGAGAGAGAGAGAGAGAGAGAGAGAGAGAGAGAAAGAGGTGTAGGCACGGGCATACACACTGATTCTTCGATTATCAGTTCATACGTAATATGATAACCTGAAATATCGTTTGAAGTACATCTTCAGCTTGCACAAATGTGATATTTTTTTTTTTACATTTTCATGAAAACTTGGCAGAGATGTTCACATCGTATATTATAGTTATAAATGTCTTATTCATATGCCAAAATAAATAGATAAATAAATAAATAGATAAAAAAGTCCAAATTTCACCCCAAATGACGACGTCGTCAATGAAGTTAAAATTTGGTAAAGATTAGACCCCACAGTTGTCACTACTGCCTGTATTTTTGTACTTGGTTCGTCACATCACATATAGTCCACGGCTCCAACACTTCCATCACTTCCATCACCATTATCATTTCTATAACTAGTTCAAAATAAAAAGGTGTTTGTCCATGTGCCAACAGTTTTACTAGTCACACATTGATGTGTTTTATAATAGAAACTATATCGTCTTTCACAGTGAACATCACAACGGCGAATGGGTAGAGAAATCCTCGTCAGCTTCGCTATCGCATTTAGGGATGTTGCGGAGAGACCTATCAAACACATTGGCAATTATGGGAATATGCGAGATAAACCGAAGACTCGCAAATTAATTGATTAATAAGGCCCCTATTTCACACAGACCACGAATCCCACGAATCGCCAGGAATTGACAATTTTCAGGATTCGTGAGGATTCGTGAGATTTTGCCAATTTTCTGGTCTAATTCGACACGCTCTACGATTCAGTTACGATACAGGTGCGTCAACGGGGCATCAACGTTTTTGCCACCAATTCCTGTTGGTCAAGAAGTGCAAGAACTGTCTACGAATATATACGAATCTGTTAAGATCTTCACGAACTGATTACGATTCAACCACGAATCGTGAAATTTGTCAATTCACGGCCATTCGTGGGATTCGTTGTCTGTGTGAAATAGGGGCATAAGCAAGCTTTAGTGGGATTTGTTGAGAGTGACCAAGAAAAGATTTTGAGCTGTAATTGTTGGCGTGAAAGGTCTGAGTGGTTAGAAAACAGATAATCTCTCTGCAGCCTGGTTGAGGCTTTATAGCTGCTGCCGTGATCATCTCAATAACAACAAATGTTATATTTAAAGGGATAATAACTCTTCGTGTGAGATGTATATTTCACAATAAAAACAATGTGAACAACTCATAGAAATATTATATATTCTGTTGTACCACAAGAACGGCAGTTATAGCTATTATTCTGATATCTGAGCTTGTCTTTAGACCACGTGACTTCCATTGATGGCTATACTTTGTTGCAATCTCTTAAGAGATTATAACAAAAAACTTTTTAGAAAAAACAGGGACTAACTTTGAATGTAAAAATGGATTCAAGTATGGAAAAATTGTTGTTTACTCCAGGAAAATTAATTTTTTTGCCAAAACGAAGTTATTATCCCTTTAAAGAAGTATCATTAAGTTTCCTTTCTAAGAAAAAGAAAGAAAAGTGATGACGATATTTGAAATGTGAATTGATAATTGAAATTCATATCCAAATGTGACCTTGAATTTAGCCTTTTACTTTCTTTACTGTGGAAGTTTTTTCCCTCAAATTTGCAAGCTCTTTATATCAATAATTATATGGGAGACATCTATAGTTTCAATTCAGTTCGATAAATGTGTACATTTGCCAAGCTTGCTTAATTTAACAAATTTTAGTCCTACATATTTTAACTGTCGTATCTTCATTTGTTAGGAACATGCTTGTATAATCAGCGGTACACATAAAACGATTAAAAACATATCATTTCTACCCTCTTGTAGTCTGCGCCACCGTCTTTCTTTAAGAGACCATTCCCACAGATATTTAGATCGATCTGTCCCCCTGGAGGAGTGTCACTAGATTGCTGTCAGCTTAACCGGCTTAAATGTTTGTCCCGCCTACTAAAAACTGTAAGGGGGTAATAAACTTTTGTGCGCGCTCGGTTCCCTGAAGCTGATAGCAATTTAGCGTGAACCCCCAGGGAGTTAGGTCGATCCAGATACTTTTTCCAAAATCTAATTTGACAGGCCCGTAGCTAGCTATTTCAAAAGGGGGATCTTTTCTGTAAAAGTGAACCTTTTACCGTGAAACTTTTGTGTACCTAGAAAAAAATGTACCCAAAGGGGGCCTTTTCCTGACAAAAAGGGGGGTTCTTTTGAACCCCATGACCCCCCTGGCTACGGACCTGTTGAGTTAGGGATATAATGGGAAACAAACTGCTTAATTCTTTATACGAAATGCTGCTGAATGATTGTGTCTTCCATGCCCCAATTTGGAAAAAACGTCATATAAGAATTTACATGAGGCTTTTTAGAGATGGAAATGTGACTGTACGTCATGTTAAATGGGATCGGAGGCGATTCTTCCAAGATATTTACTCTAATCTCTTTATCGAAATGACGCATTTTTAAAATAATTCTGCGAACGGAGTGAGGAGCTTAAGAAATGAAACAAAAAGCAGGAAATAAAGTTACTCATATTCCATATGAGATTAAAAACACAATGAACGCTTTATAAAATGTAAAACAGATATGTCATCGGATAAGAATATACCGTGAGACCCTTCTGTAATTTGATAGGCACGAGAAATGAATGTGAGATAACGTTGACAGGATGTTTCGCTTTCCTAAATAGGCCCCTATCTTTTATCCCCCAAATCCCCTCTCTCGCTTCGCAGATATTTTCTTCACTATGACAGCATCAATACCAGATACCTAAACCTGGCGTCGTTTTAAGCAGGCAACCTAAACTGAATCGATCATTTTTTTCTATCATTCACAGTCCGCTGTTCGTTGACCATGTAAAAAGGTTTTTGGCTTTCTCTTTTCAATGGTAGTAGCACGTGCTTCGTGCTCCCGCGGTTGCCATAGACGCTGGATAAGCCAATCAAGGACGGCGTCCTGGTTTACAGAGAACGCAAACCGCAGTTTTCCGATTATAAATTTTCACCCAACTTTTTTTAGCAGCGAGATCCGGGATTCTGCAGTCACGCTGAACGTTAATCTGACAGCGTGTGACACCAGCGGAAAAGCTACAGCCCAGAGCCCATCTATATAAGTTGAGACAATTCTCCAAGGCAGTGTCCATGGTATCGATACCAGTGGCCCCAATTTGTGTAACGAATTGGCTGATACGGTGAGTTCACGTTAAGTGTTCAAGTTCATAGTTACAATCACCAGAGCCCAGAACTGTTTTTATCTTAGTTGACCGAAAAGAGTAAACAACATCAGCTTAAACAAGTTGCCTGTTGGCATGTAGTAGCTTATAACCAGGAACATGTCACCAGTCATAGGCCTATATTAAAATGGCGTGATATTAAGTGGTCGCATTTTACCTATATATGTTACAAGCTGTCAAGGTTAAAAGGATAAACCAACATTACAATACAGCCAGCTTTTAATTTTCAATTTAGCTGTAGCTGGCACAATCCCTTGACCCAATTTCTCGATTATTTGATTTAGATTTTTGATGACGGTATCAACTTTCTGTCAAGTTTATCTTACACACTGAATATCGCTTGGCCTAATTCTCTCTCTCTCTCTCACACACAAAAAGAAAAAAAAAAGAAATTATAAAAAATACCCAATTTTTGCGTCCAGTGAAGAGATGAAAGAATCGAAAATATTCCATTTTTTAAATTTTTGTTTCAAAATTGAAAATTTTAAAAGGAACTCTGTTCATTTTTCTGATTTTCATTTCAGGAATGAAAACGGAAACTGTCATGGATAAGAAAGAGTTAGTTATTATTTTCTTTTCTTTTTTTTATTTTTTATTAAGATATTTAGAGAGATAACATATGCCTACCATTATCTTAAACGACACCATTAAAAAATTAAGCCATTTTCTTCGATCTCAATTTTGATTTGGTTAAGGTTCTAATCATTCTTATTTCTTATTGATTTATTGAAGCACGTGCTTCCTTTTATTTGAAAGTTTTTTTAGCAGTTGGTAGGAGAAATAAATATTGCAACTTATGTGGTCTTACGCATCTGTCGTTGCTTATTCTGCGAATGCTAACTGTAACTTTTTTCTTTGCACAATTTTGGACTTTGATCGAAGTGCACGTTTGCAGTATTTACGTTAAATATGTGTTCTGGAGGGTCGTTTTAGAAACAAGGCTGCCTTGTGTATACAGTGTCTGTTATTTGAATTTTTGAATTTAACAATTTGCAATGTAAAATTATACAGGTCAAAATTAAATAAATAAAAGAATGCCATTTGTGGGGCCAATTTGCGCTCTTACGTAAAATTCTAAAACTGCTTGGCTGGCGCTCATCTGATGACATCATAGACCATATGTGGGTAACTTTTTTTCCAAATGATTCTGTTGTTTCAGTAGTTGATTTTAATCAATTAAAATTGATTGATTCAGTCGTGGTTAAACAGGCGGAGAAAGCTGTTAAGAATTCGACAGAGATCTCCCCTTGCCTGCCCTCTCCCGGCTCCCTTATTATTAGCAAAGAATGAAAGAAAAATAAAGGATAAAAAGAAAGAAAGAAATGAAGCTGTGGAATCCGTTTTGTCTCTGAAAATGTGTGTGTGTGTGTGTGTGTGTGTGTGTGTGTGTTCGTCAAGAGTGGGTTGGGCAAAAATGAGTGATAAATAAAACTATCGTAATAACCAAGGACTTCATCAGCACATTTCTCTTGGCACACCACAAATCGAACTTCCCCCATGCAGTCCAAGCCAAACCTCTTTATATAGAATTAAAAGCGATGTTTTCACCTCCTCTGGTAGTCATCTGGTGCATACTTAAGTATGTCGACAGATGATAATTGTCATAAAAGGTTAATTACTGTCGGCGAGATCATGATTTCCTGGTGTTTAATCACGGTATATTTCCCAAGAAACTGACGAGAACGCAGGTTAAAATTGCTCTTGGGGCGTATGACTGATTTTATTAAAAGAGCACAGTAATCACGAATTCCTCGATTATTTATTGCGTGTATTTATTGGATGGTAACTAGGGTTTTTAAGTGATTTGTTTTGAACAGGCAAATTTCAATGTGCCTAACTTAATGAAAGATTTCGCCTTTATGTCATTATTGCAGAAATTTAAAGACAAGAGAATCGATAATACTCTGATATTTCTTTAATGCCAAAGAGTGAAAATAGTATAAAATGTCTTAAGCTAATGCCAAAGAAAACTGACATTTCATTTTCTGAAATAATGTGTACTTTTATTGTTTAGAACTCGTCGTAAATTAATCTTTTCATTTGTTTTATTAAGGTGTGATAGAGGACGCGATACCAGCTGGGAGGCGTTTGCCGGACTTCTTCATCCGTATATGTGAACAATCAAAGAACAGTGAAGTATGCCACAAAGATTCTTACAAGGCAACTTTAATACAGCACGTTTAAGGATCATATGAAATTTGCCGGCCACAAAAATGGTGTTAAATATTTGGCATAAACCAAAGCAGGAGAGCGTGACTTACTTTTTAACCAGTAACAAAACACCTTAAGCGCCTAAGGAAAAAAAAAAAAACTTGAATAAAGAGACATTTTCATCCAGCAACCTACATTAAGAAGATAGAAAAGGGCCGTCAATAAGAACATGGACGCCAACTCCTCTTGCGACGATATGAAAAACGTCTCCTCTTCTTCCCAGGACGCAGGCGATATTTTTGCCTTCGTGGTTGACACTGTCTTTGTGGGGAGCATCAGCTTTGGTGGAATACTAGTAAACGCGTTCACGTTCCTCGTACTGTGGAGTAAAAGGAGACAATCTACCACGTTCTACTTTTTACTTGCGTTAGCCGTGGCAGACAGCCTCTACCTGGTGCATTGCCTTCTTTTCCAGGTTTTCCGATCCATCTATCCGCACACTGGGAATTTCAAAGAGTATGAATTTCTTGATTTCTTTAGATTAAGCGTATGTTCGTTTGCTTATTGTTTTGCTTTTTAACTTGTGACATTATTTTTTCGTTTTTATATACATATCCATTCGGTTCGTGCTGCCCAGGCATTTGTGACGTCTACAGTAACATTTGTGACGTCTACAGTAACATTTGTGTCGTAAACTTTACATTTGTGACTTAAAAGGCCTATACATAGTTCTAGCTACATTTTTGACCGAAGTGTACAAATGTTGCGTGTGTCTCATAAGTTGTCTGACTTGCTTTCACTTCACACTTGATATTTCTTAATATTGCTACAAATGCTTCTAAATCACGCGAACCGATTTCTTTTATCTGAGTTGCGAGATTGTGCTGTCTAGCACAGACGAAACATTTTTTAAATTTATAAAATAGATACTAGGTACAATCAAAGACGTACTGAAGTACTAGCAGAGGCAAATCAAGAAAACAACAAACAAACAAACTATAACAATTTTTACAAAAAAAAAAAATAAATAAATAAATAAATAAAAAAAAAAAAAAAATAAAAGATTGTGGTGTTCTAAGAACCAGACATTTTTTTTATTTATGTAAATTTTTTGAAAATGGTGTCTTCTTCTTTTCAGGTATTTCGACGCCTGGCCTTATATAGAGCCGTATGAGTATCCATTTGGTATGATGTCCCTTACGGCCTCCATTTGGCTGGTATCACTTATGGCGTTTGACCGTTGCCTGCACTTACGGTTCCCCTTCCTGTTCCAGAAACACAACGTCTTCCGTCACACAAAAATAGAGTTCCTGATACTAGTCATTCTAGACGTTGGGATGAACAGTGCCTGGTTTTTCAGGCAACGGACAGTAGAGACTTGGAACGCCTGTGAAAACGTTACGCGCGTAGAGATAATCCCGTATGCTATCGGAGAATCTCGCAGTGGACGTCTGGCCCACACAGTGGTCTTTCTCACGTTCGTTTACGGCCTCCCCCTCACCGTGATGACGCTTGCCAATGTGCTGCTGATTTTCGTCCTGCGAAGTCATTCCGAGTTCCACAAAGCGTTGATCGATAAAACATCTACGACGAAATCCCGCAAACCGAATGGGAAATCTCCGTCTAAGTCCGGCAAACTGTTTCAAAAAAATTCGTTGAAGTCCTCCAGCGGCTACGTCCAAGGGGAACGCCGCATCACCGCAATGCTGGTTGTGATGATAATAATATACTTGGTCTGCCAAACTCCGGTATTTGTGAATCACATACTCTACGCTCTAGAAGGCAAGGTCGATCTGGGCCCGAATCACAGGTACTTCAATGTCATAACAAATGCAATGGTCGCTCTGAACTCTGCCACAAACTTCTTCGTGTATCTCATCTTTGTTAAGGGGTTTCGAAAACGATCTCGTGACGCCATTGCCTCTTTGTGTCGTACTTTACGCTCGCCTGTGACGTCATGCAAATATGGCCGACCGAATTCCAACACTGAAATAACTGAAACTATGGAGGAGAGTCATTCTCATTTTCCAATTATGAGTGACAGTGAAGACAGGGAGGGACACTCTGTCCAACTGACCGCGAAAAATGAAAACCCTGATAGGGAGGTGCATTTGACATTGTTAAAATCTGATGAGATAAAACTCTAATGTACAGATATTTGGAAAATAGTAGCTGGTGGCTTGTGTCCCGTTCAAATAGGGGCGAATACATTGTTAGGAAGCATTCTGGTTTCTTATCTGCTGTCATGAGTGAATTCAACTGGTACATAGGGTTTACACAGCTCTGGCGTGGGGCAATTGTTACGTAGTCTGGTGACGTCACATCTGTCTGGTGACGTCATATCTGACTCTACTTCCGCTCTTCCTGTGCCCTGGTGTAAATGCATTGGCAATAGCTATCATTTGGCTGTTTAGCAGTCATAATACAAATTGTGACTCTTTTTAAAGTATTAAAATACTTGGATTGTTTCTCTTGTCACAAACTGCTTCGTGCGAGAGCAAAAAGTCTCAAAATATAACGTCCACATTGGAATGGGAATGCTGTTGTCGCATATTATAGACTCTTATCATTTAGATGTTTATTGACCAGTAGAAACGTCGAAAATTAAAGAAGTATATATGCGTACATTTTTGCATAATTTAGGCTTCAAGTGAAAAAATGTCAAGGAATACATGTCACCTGTGCATTGATTGCCTTACTGTGGGTATATTCAAGTGTATATGTAACACTGCACAACATGAAGGCCCGTAGCCAGGTGTGTGTGTGTGTGTGGGGGGGGTGGGGGGGGGGGGGTCAAACGAACAGTCCTTTTTGCCGGGAAAAGGTCACGCTTCTCAATAGCTGTACCTTTCAAACATGAAGATTAAATCCTAGTGACGGAGTGGTCGAAAGGTTCAAACAATCAATATATGCCACAGAGCACATAATGCTTGTACATACTGTATGATTTTTATCGTCATATAACTATAGACATTTCTAGCGAAGACTAAGGGTGGGAGGGGGGAGATGCCCCCTCTTCCCCTTGACCGAATACCCTGGATCTGTGAACTGGAACTGTGTAAGCGCGTACAGATGTGAAAAAGAAGATGAAATTATTCAAAATAGACAATTTGCATTATAAACTGTACATATTATTGCATCGGGAAAAATTTGAAGCAAAATGCCAATAATAATATATGTGTTGCAAGAGATAGGGCCTATATTGCTTTGGCTGTTTATACCGATTTCCGTTAAAGCTGGGCTATTTAAAACCACAAAAAAAGTAGAAAAACAGAAGAAATTATTACAATTCGATGCTCACCCAGAAGTAGGCTATAACATAGTCTGAGACCGGAGGAGGGGGGGGGGGGGGCTCTAACGGTCCCGATTAACCACGATGCTCAATCAGAACAAAGATGGGAATTGTATTCAGGGCCACAAGTAAGTCTAAAAAAATTGTCTATTCAACTCTCGGCATGGTTTGTTTTCATATAATGCAAGATTCTTACCGAAATTCGCAGAAATAAAAGGTATCAAAAACGTGTTGTTATGTTATGAGAGCTTGATCGGATGCAAACTTGGCAATTTAGGAAGGCAATAAATAACACTTATCCAATGCCATTACTGTTTTACTTTTTTTCCCCATCCTTCTTTTACCCTTTAGGGTGTCGAGGGGGAGAAAGAGTTGAAGTTTTCTGTCTCTGGCGAGCTGGAATGCTTGGTTGAGTGGGATGTTGTTCTATTGCAGGATCTCACGTACTCCATCTACCCACTTCTTCCTCGGTCTTCCTCTTGCCTTGAAACCGGAGTGTTTCTTTTAACAATCGACCAAAAAAGTTCGGTAACATAAAATTGTTTTTCAATATGTAATGTAGTGGGAAAATCTTCATGAATATAAAAAAGTAACGGACAATGGGTGCATTATCTATCAGTAGGTTATTGGCTAAAATATGTACCTTAGCCAATATGGTGTTTTTCGAATTATTCAAAATAACGATGTTTCCGATCTTTTTTCGGCCGAATGAATACAGTAAACACAGGTACAGATTTTTTTGTCAGGGTGTGAATGCGGCACACCTGTCGCAATGAGAATCCCTAAATGCGCATGCGCAAGTCAGACAACCTTGACCCTTTTTAACATCAACAAGAAAAGGAAGACCGATTTTCGCATTTTATAAGATTTTTGAGCGTGTGCCAGCTGACGGAATGATTTACTCAAATGTAGCACAATGAGAGAGAGTTAAACCTGGGATAGGAGTCAAGTGCGTCGTAACTGTTAACGGTATGCTTTCGTTGCATTATCTTACACTTCGTCTTTTAAATTAAATCGACCCGTCGACAAACGATTTCGTTGTAAACTTATCACTATCAATTCACTGTTAGGCCCTCTGTATAACAATAACCATTGTGCTGAAGGCAGGTCTTCGGCTCCAATCCATCCGTAATCCTCGACCAATTTCTTTTTCTTTTGCTGAATTGTAGTGAGGCCTAGATCAAATGAGTTACTAGTAAATATTACCTCCACCAAGGAGACTTGTTTTAGTTGTTTCATGGGTCCTGGAAACAGTGTACTAGTATAACAAGAGGTCCCACTATTATAAATTTGTCCAGAGATGCCTGTCTGTGCAGTTGTATTCAGATCCAGTGTGCACTAGCATAGAAAAAGGCCTCACTATATGTACTAATTCTGTTTACTTCCAGCATGAAATGATCAGGGCAAGCAGCCAGGAGCTACTCAGAGGTAATTACAATGACAGTTCTGGTGACTTTTCCCTGTCACCTGCCCCAGTGGCCCCAAGTACAGATGTTAATACTGGACCTTCTGGTCTCTCTGGACACAGAGGAACTGGACCCTGGTCAAGTGGTGGCCAGACTGGAGGCCATCTTGAATGCTGCCCGTCCCCAGGACAACTTGCACCAGCAGCAAGAAGGGGAGAATCATACTCAGCCAGAAGAGAGATCCAAGCAGGAAGTGATGTCACAACAGGAAGTGACATCACAACAGAAAACAGGGTCGGCAGAATGTGATCATAATATTGGAAAAGATGGAAAGAAAAACAGAAAAGGAAAACAAAAGAAAGAACTAAATAAAAAGGCTGGTGACAGTGCTAGGGCAGGGTCTAGACGTCGAGGTGGAAATGCTGACAACAACTGGGTGTTTAATGGACTGCAGTATTTCCTAGAGGTGACAGCCTCTCTCCATGAAAGAGAGGTATTCATGAAGACCACCCTGCCCACTGTACTAAAGCTGGTGTTAAGACTGGAGGAGGTCCTGCCAGAAGATGGAGTGGACATAGCTGTCCAGCAGCATGGTCAGTCTCACGATGTGTTCTCAGTTTTCCTCTCTTGTTTTTTTTTTTCATTGCAAAACGAAAGGTCACAATGCACTTAATGTCATTGTATGCAATTCAGCAGCCTAAACATCATTATTGTGACTGTATTAACTTATATTGTGAGTCTTTTGAAATTTATTGAAGGTATGAGCATCAAAGATATGTTTATCATTTTTTCCCCTGGACTGTTTGTAGCTGATTATGGAAAAATGTGGATGTGTTAAAGAAGGATAATCCTTAAATTTGTTTTTCCAACTCACTTAAATTGAAATGATTCGAATAATTTTTTCCTCTTTATAGAAAGTAAATCGTCAGAGTTGGTCTTCTGAAATCTAGTTATGAGAATCAAGTCATAGAAACATTTGACATCATAATAAACTTTCTATGTTTCAGCCTGTACGTTGGCGCTACAGAAGGACCTGGTTTCCAGTATCATCGCCTGTGGCTTCCTCTGTCTGTTCCCTGATACAAAAGACTACACAGGGGATACAAAGTTGCACAGCATCAATTTTGACAATTTCTTCACGTATCTTAAGGGATCTAGGAGGTAAGCTTCACAACCAGGACAAGCTTTAGTAAAGGACCTAAAACTCAAAGTCAAAATACGGATATTTTTTTCTTTATAGATTGTTTTAATTTTTGCGAGATTTGATTTGGCCTGAAAAGGACCCAAAACCCCAAGTCAGAATATGGATAGTTTTTTTCTTTATAAATTGTTTTTTTGTCTGTGAGAGTTGATTTGGTCTGAACATTTGGTGTAAGTGAATTATTCAGGATTTTAAGTGGAAGTGGGAGGGTGTCTAGGTGGGTGGGTTTGGGAGGGGGGGGGGGTAAAATATATGTTTATGAAGGCTTTAGTTTCAAATTTCCAAAAGAAGAACCAACGAGTTGAAGCCCGTTAGTGTGTTTGGTTGTCATTGCAGTATTGTCTGTTCAGATATAAATATAGTTTTGTCTGGTGTAAGTTATGGATACAATAATTGCGTGATATGTAACTCCTAGTATGCTTTATGTGTGAGAGTTATGATTCCGTGTGATCAATCTTTAAAATGTCTGTGTAAACCCACTTGGCAATGCTTTCTATAAAGTTACATATGAAGTGAGCGTGGATTCCCTATAACACATATAATCTACTTCTACAAGTTTCTTATATCCACTTCGACTAGTTTCTAATATGGCTCTTATAAAGTCATCATGCCAAGGGAAAAACCCATTAAATCCATCCATAGGCCAAAGGAAGCTTTTAAAACTGCACCTTATTTTGATTTTTAGTCATAAAATCTGGCTTATTTAGCCCTCTCTCAGTTCATAAAAGTTCACAATATGACGTAGTTATATATGACCCAATACTGCTTCAGGGCCAATAGCATTATAATTAAATTCAAATATAAGCTATGGTGAAAGGCCAAGGCTTATATATAGCCCATATCCATGGAAAATATCCATTCAAAGTTTTTTTTTTTTTTAAATGTGAAATGATGCCATTTGGTATTTCTTAAAGTTTTAATGCTATTTGAAATGAAACAATGGCATTTGGTTGGGTTTTGTGGCCAAAATTGACTTCATATTTTGTAACTTTAAGTCAAGTAATATGTCTGTAAGTCCAGTCACTTGGTGCTCACTATAGCTAGCTGCTAAGAGAGTGTAGTCAGGTATTGATTGCATAGGACAGATTTAGAAGAAACTTTTTTAGATGAATTTCAAGAAGTGAATAATTTCTATAATATTAATTCAGCTGTACAATGGCAGATTTATCTTTACTGCTGCGTGCAGATAAAGATATATATCGCTCAGCAGTAAGCAAATTCCAGTCCTTCTTGTGGCCTTGTGATAATTCTGATTACTCTTTTGTCACAGATGTTTCATTTCTTATAAAAAATGCAGAGATAGGCAATTATACTGTCTAGTATTGCTCTTGTCATAGACGTCACCCATGTAATCACTAGAAGTGAACTGCAATTAGTAGCTATAGACAGTTCAACATTTACATGTTATTTTGATGAGGAATTTTTATTTTACTCACTGCAGACCATGTCTGGTATTGCTGTTCTTTTCTTCAACTATTGATGTATTAAATCCTACGGCATTGTAGATACTAGTAGTGATAAGTTAATATAAGTGTGGGAAAGAAAACAACCTGAAAAGAGGCTACTTTGACTTAATGAAAATTATAATGGAGTTGCAGATCTATACAGATGTAATATAAATGGTAGCTCAGAGCCCCCTCCCCAGAACTCTCTCTCTCCTAACACAAACTAATATTTCATATATTTCTATTTTTATTTGCCCACTTTTTTCTCTGAAATTCATAACTGTCAGTTGTGGAAAGCCACTTTTGTACTAATACAGGAGCATAAAAGAGATGAAAGACATGCAGGCATCAGTCTCTGTCAATTTTGGCAAATGAGAGAAGAAAGGTCTCATAAAACAGGTGGTAAAGAAGAGAAACTTGAATTTTAGCACTCTGTTTTTTGTGTGCACTGAAGGAGAATTCCTAAAAGTAAGCCTTTATGGTAATTACTCAGCAGTTTTGAATTGAGAATTTAGTTAATATGTTCTATAATATTTCTTATTATAATGATATCTAAAAAAAATATATATTGAATGTTCTGAAAAGTGGGTTGGATGCAATTCAATATACATAAAGACCAGTAAGTGAAAATGAGACATTTTGAAAGAATAAAATATTGGGGTAAGGTACTAGATGTAATAGATGAAATAAGATGTTTGAAATGTGTGAAGTATTACTGTGTGCTGTTCTGAGGTTTCTTTCCTATACAGATTGTAGGTTTTTAAAAGGTTTCTTCAATATGTCCAGACTCCTGGCATGTTTTGTAAGGGCTCAGACAAACAGTATGGCAAGTTGAATATGTTCCATTTTAGCTAAGATTTTCAGTATGGCTAATTTGCAAAGATAAGTTTATGTGTTACTACTGCTATTGTTACTTAAGTGTCCAAATTTTTATTTTTTAATCATTGGTAAAGAATTTACTTCGGCACATGCTGCCTGATGTGTCCAATTTTCCTACGTCCATGTTGTATAGATCTGATATGCTGGTGCTGGTTCCGTGCATTTACTTGATAAAAAAAAAAAAAAAAAAATGTGGCATAAAAAAATAAAACACAGAACTTCTAAAAATCTAATTTGAATATTAAAATATGGTTATCAAAGTTAACTAAAGTTCCAAACCCCCAACTCATTTTACAGAAAAAAATGAAGAAAGTACAGCTCTTCTTCAGGAAGAAATGATAAAATAATAAGAAGTTATAAAAGATATTTGGATAAGACAGATCCATATTTCTTCACAGTTGCCTTGTGACAGCCGCATAGAATATATGCCAATCAAATTACTGCATTACTTAAACAAGATATCAAGCAATTGCACTGAAGGCATGATATTGTAATCAGCTCTGTAAGTAGAGAAGTCTTTGTTGTTTGTGTTGGTCAGTATTTGTCTGTGTTTTGTGACAGTTGGGCACATGTGTATGGTAGCGTTTGCCATTGTTGATTAGTATTTGTTCTGGTAATAGTTTGATTAAAGACAGTGGGTCACTTTTTAATTGGACGGTCATTGCCAAGGGGAGAAGCAGATCTTTATTATTGTAACTGAAGGTGACAGCTGTAAAAATTTAGATGTATAGTTCAGGTTGAATGAAAGTAGTTGCCACATGTAAATGTCTTGCTCTGTCTTCCTCTCTCTCTCTCTCTCTCTCACACACACACACACAACACACACACACACACGCACACACACACACAGAGAGAGAGAGAGAGAGAGAGAGAGAGAGGATCAATTGACTTCAGCAAAGACCAGAAGTGTGCTATCTGTATAAGGCCCTAGGCTGTAGTACCTAAGTATGCTGTCACAGGAGATTGCTATGCCAGCCTCTTGATCTTATTAAAGGTGATAGGTAATCTTCTAGGGAGGAATGCTAATTAAATTTAAACACTGTGGACAAGTTTAGACTAGGCCTAAGTTATGTTTTAAAACACTATAGACAAGTTCATACCAAGCCTAAGTTATCTTGTAAAACACTATAGACAAGTTTATTCCAAGCCAAAGTTATGTTGTAAAAAGCAATCTATAGACAAGTTCAGACCAAGCCTGAGTTATGTTGTAAAACACTGTAGACAAGTTCAGACCAGGTATAAGTTATGTTGTAAAGCACTATACTAGTATATAGGTTCAGACCAGGCCTAAGTTATGTTGTTAGACTGCCAGGTATTCTAGAACCACAGATGTTACTTAGAGCAGATTGTGACTTGTATTTAGCTGAGGGTTGATAACAACTGTCATGAGAATCCAACAAGATGCATATGTAGGTACATATATATACAATATATACTGTATGCATATATATATATACAATATGTATGAGTGGCTGTGATAGAAAAAAAAAGTTGTCTTGAACTTTTTTGTTAATTGAATTTTTTTTGTTTTTATGAATATACATATATATAAATGATATATAAATCACAGTATGTCAATAGTGAATTATAATGACCTGTTGTGGGCAGCAAGGGAAGTTATGGGTTTTATAAAAATCAAAACAATTTCATAAAAATGTATCAGTGCTGTATCGGTGCTGTGTATTTTTTTCCAGCCCTTCCCAGAGTGCCAAGCTGAGGTGTATACTCCACTACTTTAACAGGGTAGCATTGGCGGACTTCCACATGGCTGGAGATATCCGCTACATACGAAAGGTAAATCAAATGTAAATTAATATGATTCATATCATCCAGTTATGATGTACTGATATTAAGTTAAACTCTAATACTGGACATTCACATATCTATAGATCTGAACTCTGATACTGGATACTCACATAGATCTTAACTCTAATACTGGACACTCACATAGATCTAAACTCTAATACTAGACACTCACATAGATCTAAACTCTAATACTGGACACTCACATAGATCTAAACTCTGATACTGGACACTCACATAGATCTAAACTCTAATACTGGACACTCACATAGATCTAAACTCTAATACTGGACACTCACATAGATCTGAACTCTGATACTGGACACTCATAGATCTGAACTCTGATACTGGACACTCACATAGATCTGAACTCTGATACTGGACACTCACATAGATCTGAACTCTAATACTGGACACTCACATAGATCTAAACTCTAATACTGGACACTCACATAGATCTAAACTCTAATACTGGACACTCACGTAGATCTAAACTCTAATACTGGACACTCATGTAGATCTGAACTCTGATACTGGATACTCACATAGATCTGAACTCTGATACTGGATACTCACTTAGGTCTGCTAGATGTTTTGCAGAGATTCTGTGCTGATTGTCAGGTGACAACTGCAATACCACCAGCAGTGTCACCTGCAGTGACAGTTCCCTGAACATGTCCTTGTGATAAAGGACAAAACATTGGAATCTCTGCATAACATCTAGCAAAAGGTTAAGTTGGACAAAAGGTTACTAGTAAGTTGACATGCAGAAGACCAAACAACTGGTAACATGTGCACAGACATGGGGAATACTTTAAAGATGGTCTTGAGGACTTGCACTACAAGAAATGTAAAAAAAAAGTAAAACAGATTTTATAGAGAATGGAAAAGAAATAGAGACTTTGATTTGGGTTTTTTAATTGCAATAGCTGAGAAAAGCATTCCCAAGCTAAGTGGCAGGAGGAGCCTTGATTGTGATATATTATATATAAACCAGTAGTTTCTCTGTATACAAGACTGCTGTAACAGCTAATGCAATGATGATCAATTCTTACACAATTGGGACATTGGATGTGCCATGAATTGAATGTGATATTGATTAGAACTTCTGCACCAGCTTGTACTGGTGAAGAATGATGAGTAAATACACCATAAGGTGACACTAGACCACAATAACATGACACTTCACTACAATAGCATGACAATTGAAACAGGGTCTGAATAAAAAAAAAGATGACCACCATGAAATCTTATACTTGTTATCCTTCAGGTGTTTAGAAAAATGAGACACCATGAAATCTGTTAATTGCTTCCTCAAGGTGCAGAAAAAAGATGAGACATCATGAATTTTGATAATTGTTTTCTTCTAGGTGCTGAAAAAAGACGAGACACCAGATTTGACTGCCTGGGTGGACTGTGAGAAGCCTCTGTGTCAGATTCATGTCCATCATGACAGGAAAATTGAAGATGTTGGATCAGAGGCAATACAGGTAGAGTTGTGGGTCTATGTGTGTGTGTGTGTGTGTGTGTGTGTGTGTGTGTGTGTGTGTGTGTGTGTGTGTGTGCGAGCATGCACGTGTGTGTGTGTGTGTGTGTGTGTTTGTGTGTGTGCATGCTAGAGAATGTGTACATGCATATGCACACTGTTTGTACTTTTTCTGTACACGTTATTTTGAGGAAAGTTCTTGACTTACATGTAAACAGAGAATATGTCAGGACATTTGCTTTTGTTGTTGTTTATCCATTAATTAATTATTTAATAGATAATGATAAATAGGTTTTCTTTTCGTAGGTCTTTGCTTTCTGGGTGAATTTCTTGTCAATATTTGTTTTATTCTAAACATTTAGGTTGATTTTGCCAACCGGTTCATAGGAGGTGGAGTCCTAGTTGGTGGTAGGGTCCAGGTAAGTGACCTTCACCTTAACCTTTGATTTTTAATTGGAAATCTTATAGTAAGCTATAAGAAGCAATGTTTGTAGGTGTCAGAATTTTGCACCAGTCTATAGATTTGTATCTTTGAAAACATTAGTAACACTTGTGAAGATGATTTTATGTACAAATAATCCAAACTGAAAGTAAGTTTTGTTTTTTCTCGTCAGCTGATCTCTATTAATATACCAGATGTAATGAGGCTGATGCATTAAACTGTCATTCAAAAATTGATTTTAGGAAGAAATCCGTTTCTGCATCAGTCCAGAACTGATAGCCTCTTTGCTATTTATGGAATTCATGATGGACAATGAGGCAATTAGTATAGAGGGAACCACCCAGTTCAGTGACTACACGGGATATGCCGAGAGCTTCAGATTTGCTGGTGATCATCATGTGGAAGAAAAGGTGAGACTGATTTGACTTTATCCTATATAAAAACAGAAGTTTTAAGCATTAAGGTTATGACTTTTGAGGTTTATCATTTCAGGCACATTTGTTAATTCCATCAAATCTAACATCCAGAAAAAAATAACTTTGTGCTTACAGATTGCTGTGACAAAGATATGATTGACTATAAAAATTAATAATAAAACAAAACCAAGGAGAGGTTTTTCCTTAAACTTTCCTTTTAATGGTGTTTATTATCAATATTCAGCACTCATTACTGGCTTACAGCCAATCTTTCAGGTTTGATATTTTTATAAGATATGAAATAAGTCCAAAAATGATATTTTACAGCAAGATGTAGTAGTGTGTGCCATTGACGCCACTAGATTTGGCCACCAGGGGGCGTACAAGCAGTACACGGCAGATATGGTCCTTCGAGAAGTTAACAAGGCTCTTGTAGGATTCAAACAATCTGAAATTGAAACAAGGCAGACAGTTGGTCAGTTTGGGTCATGTGACTTCTCATTAAGCCAATCAGAAGAGTCAGAATATTTTACAGCAGTTGAAGAATTGGTGGAGGGTTGGTATAATGAATAAAGTTTCCCGAAATTACTTAATGTGATTGAATTTGATCTTGTTTAAACCATCATTGTAGTGAAAGAGCGCCACATTCAGATGAGTTGAAAATGGATATCTCTGTTTTCCATGGCACTAAATATCTAGTCTGCCCTTCTTCTCTTTCCGTCATCCTCTGCTTACCTTTTATTGCCCAGAACTGGTACCTGACAAACACCTTAGTCATAATAATAACTGTATCTGGTACTGATTTCTAATTCTGATTTGTTAGACGGACAATATTTGGTATTTGACAGTAAGAAAAATGCACTGAAGTTGAATAGTATTTATAGTTAACTATTTATATTTTCCATTTTTTTGTTTGATGTTAGAGCTTAGAGGACAAATTTAATAAGATAGGGGAAGTTTTAGTGAAATTGATAACCTTAAAGTATGACTTTAATGTGGTTTGTTTCAAATCTTCAGATCAAAGGTCAAAAGTAAATTAATTTTAAATTCTGACATCAGGATTGAGAATTTATGAATTTTGTTTATGCTACCTAGGACAACCAATTTAAAATTGGTGAAGAGAAATCCATTTTGTGCTCTTTCTTTTCCCCCCAGATTCTTCAGTGACCTTGACCTTGGCTGATTTCACGTCTACTCTTGCTAAGGCCATCCTTGCCTCGGCCATGGCAGATGCCATGCAGCTTTCAAAGGTAGGGCTTGAACTGTTTTTCACAGAAAGTCAGTGTATAAAATTTTATTTATGAAAAATATGAGCTGTATAATTTTGCCAATCTTTTGTTAATATTTGAACTTAAAAACCTAAGGTTTATTAGAACAATTATTTCAAGAGGTTGTCAGAGGTGATGACTCATACCATGCATCCTGTATTAAAATTCGGTGCAATCATGTCTTATTCTTTGATGTGGGGTAATTAATAATTGAGTTCACTGACATTATTAGTATATAATGCGTCCCTAGATATCATTTCAAACCATTTTCATTTTCACAAGTGTAATTTCTGTGAATAGATTTTGCTAAAAGAAGTATAATATTGCTTAATAATATTTCTATGGCTAACCAAACCTAATTTGCCAAATATCCCTAAGTTGTCAGTAAAAAGCATACCTCTTTGTTTTTTTTGGAACAATTTATACCTTTTGACCAATAGGAAGGTCTATATTGCCATTAATAAGGCTAATTTGACCTTGGCCTTTTTGTAGAGATTGACTTGGTTGTTTAGCAGTACTCACTTGTGCTCTACCAGCTTTCCTATGTTAGGTCACAAGAGATGAGGTGTCAAATTGACTGCTCCTATTGGCTGGCCGACTCCCATTGATAGAGAAAAAAATTCCAGTTCAAATGTTCAAATTATGGCATATTGGCAAGGAATATGAAGTTAGCGAACCCAAAAGTAATTATTTTGGGACATTCGGAATTTATAACACTCAAAATATTTTACACTCACAAACATGGAAAAGCATATTCATGTCTGAGCAAATTTTCCGACCAGACCTTATGGACAATATGTTCTCCAATACGTCTCACTCTGTTAGTCACACTTATCATACTATGCCCAGTTATACGTCTACATACGCCACAGGTATTTTTTTCCCTCTCACTAGGCCCTAGTTATTCATGGTAGTACACTGACTCCAGGCTGTTTGTGTCCTGTTTGTTTATTATGTCATGTTTTATGGATCACAGGCCCGTAGCCAGCAATTTCAAATGGGGGGGGGGGGGGGGGGGGTTGGTTTTTTGAAAAAGTGGGCCTTTTTACAAAAAAACTTTCTTTACNCACGTGTGTGTGTGTGTGTGTGTGTGTGTGTGTGTGCGAGCATGTATGTGTGTGTGTGTTTGTGTGTGTGCATGCTAGAGAATGTGTGCATGCATATGCACACTGTTTGTACTTTCTCTGTACACGTTATTTTGAGGGTTGTTCTTGACTTACATGCAAACAGAAAATATGTCAGGACATATGCTTTTGTTGTTGTTGATCCATTAATTAATTATTTAATAGATAATGAGAATTAAGCTTTCTTTTCGTAGGTCTTTGCTTTCTGGGTGAATTTCTTGTCAATATTTGTTTAATTCTAAAAATTTAGGTTGATTTTGCCAACCGGTTCATAGGAGGCGGAGTCCTAGTGGGTGGCAGGGTCCAGGTAAGTGACCTTCACCTTGACCTTTGATTTTTAATTGGAAATCTTATAGTAAGCTATAAGAAGCAATGTTTGTAGGTGTCAGAATTTTGCACCAGTCTATAGATTTGTATCTTTGAAAACATTAGTAACACTTAGTGAAGATGACTGTATGTACAAATAATCCAAACTGAAAGTAAGTTTTGTTTTTTTCTCGTCAGCTGATCTCTATTAATATACCAGATGTAATGAGGCTGATGCATTAAACTGTCATTCAAAAATTGATTTTAGGAAGAAATCCGTTTCTGCATCAGTCCAGAACTGATAGCCTCTTTGCTATTTATGGAATTCATGATGGACAATGAGGCGATTAGTATAGAGGGAACCACCCAGTTCAGTGACTACACGGGATATGCCGAGAGCTTCAGATTTGCTGGTGATCATCATGTGGAAGAAAAGGTGAGACTGATTTGACTTTATCCTATATAAAAACAAGTTTTAAGCATTAAGGTTATGACTTTTGAGGTTTATCATTTCAGGCACATTTGTTAATTCCATCAAATCTAACATCCAGAAAAAAAATAACTTTGTGCTTACAGATTGCTGTGACAAAGATATGATTGACTGTAAAAATTAATAATAAAACAAAACCAAGGAGAGGTTTTTCCTTAAACTTTCCTTTTAATGGTGTTTATTATCAATATTCAGCACTCATTACTGGCTTACAGCCAATCTTTCAGGTTTGATATTTTTATAAGATATGAAATAAGTCCAAAAATGATATTTTACAGCAAGATGTAGTAGTGTGTGCCATCGACGCCACTAGATTTGGCCACCAGGGGGCGTACAAGCAGTACACAGCAGATATGGTCCTTCGAGAAGTTAACAAGGCTCTTGTAGGATTCAAACAATCTGAAATTGAAACAAGGCAGACAGTTGGTCAGTTTGGGTCATGTGACTTCTCATTAAGCCAATCAGAAGAGTCAGAATATTTTACAGCAGTTGAAGAATTGGTGGAGGGTTGGTATAATGAATAAAGTTTCCCGAAATTACTTAACGTGATTGAATTTGATCTTGTTTAAACTATCATTGTAGTGAAAGAGTGGCACATTCAGATGAGTTGAAAATGGATATCTCTGTTTTCCATGGCACTTTATATCTAGTCTGCCCTTCTTCTCTTTCTGTCATCCTCTGCTTAACTTTTATTGCCCAGAACTGGTACATGACAAACACATTAGTCATAATAATAACTGTATCTGGTACTGATTTCTAATTCTGATTTGTTAGATGGACAATATTTGGTATTTGACAGTAAGAAAAATGCACTGAAGTTGAATAGTATTTATAGTTAACTATTTATATTTTCCATTTTTTTGTTTGATGTTAGAGCTTAGAGGACAAATTTAATAAGATAGGGGAAGTTTTAGTGAAATTGATAACCTTAAAGTATGACTTTAATGTGGTTTGTTTCAAATCTTCAGATCAAAGGTCAAAAGTAAATAAATTTTAAATTCTGACATCAGGATTGAGAATTTATGAATTTTGTTTATGCTACCTAGGACAACCAATTTAAAATTGGTGAAGAGAAATCCATTTTGTGCTCTTTCTTTTCCCCCCAGATTCTTCAGTGACCTTGACCTTGGCTGATTTCACGTCTACTCTTGCTAAGGCCATCCTTGCCTCGGCCATGGCAGATGCCATGCAGCTTTCAAAGGTAGGGCTTGAACTGTTTTTCACAGAAAGTCAGTGTATAAAATTTTATTTATGAAAAATATGAGCTGTATAATTTTGCCAATCTTTTGTTAATATTTGAACTTAAAAACCTAAGGTTTATTAGAACAATTATTTCAAGAGGTTGTCAGAGGTGATGACTCATACCATGCATCCTGTATTAAAATTCGGTGCAATCATGTCTTATTCTTTGATGTGGGGTAATTAATAATTGAGTTCACTGACATTATTAGTATATAATGCGTCCCTAGATATCATTTCAAACCATTTTCATTTTCACAAGTGTAATTTCTGTGAATAGATTTTGCTAAAAGAAGTATAATATTGCTTAATAATATTGCTATGGCTAACCAAACCTAATGTGCCAAATATCCCTAAGTTGTCAGTAAAAGGCATACCTCTTTGTTTTTTTGGAACAATTTATACCTTTTGACCAATAGGAAGGTCTATATTGCCATTAATAAGGCTAATTTGACCTTGGCCTTTTTGTAGAGATTGACTTGGTTGTTTAGCAGTGCTCTACTAGCTTTTCTATGTTAGGTCACAAGAGATGAGGTTGCAAATTGACTGCTCCTATTGGCTGGCCAACTCACCCCATGGATAGAGAAAAATGTCTAGTCTAAATGTTTAAATTATGGCATATTGGGAAGTAATATGAAGTTACCGGACCCAAAAGTTATTACTTTGGGACATTCGGGATTTATAACACTCAAAATATTTTACACTCGCAAACATGGAAAAGCATATTCATTTCTGAGCAAATTTTCCGACCAGACCTTATGGACAATATGTTCTTCAATACGTCTCACTCTGTTAGTCACAGTTATCAAACTATGCCCAGTTATACGTCTTAATCTGCCTCGCGTTTTTTTTCCTCTCACTGGGCCCTAGTTATTCATGGTAGTACACTGACTCCAGACTGTTTATGTCCTGTTTGTTTATTATGTCATGTTTTATGGATCACAGGCCCGTAGCCAGCAATTTCAAATGGGGGGGGGGGGGTTCGTTTTCTGAAAAAGTGGACCTTTTACCATAAAACCTTCATGTACCTAGATCTAATTTTATCCAAAGTGGACCTTTTCCCAGCAAAAAGGGCGGTTCTTTTGAACCCCCCGAACCCCTCCTGGCTACGGGCCTGGATCATAAGATGACTTCATTCATATCACAGGCAAACCTCTGCTCATGAACATCCCTACTTGCAATCAAATTGGCTTTTTGAAAATATGTTTTCGTAGTACAAATGTTGGTTTGGTTTACAAGCAGTGCTTCAGGCAGTGAATAAAATTGCATACCACCTCAAAGACGGGCAAGCACTCAAACGTTGGCACACTATACACAGAACTAGTATACACAGACATGTCTTCAATATGGTGCTTCATTCATGTGCCTCAGGTACAAGGAAGAAAATACTTCCACTTCTCTGAGTTGTATCTGCTAACAAAAACAGGAAATAATAAATAAATATGTTGTGTGGTTTGAAAAGGAGGTTAATTATTACACTTCATACTGAGAAAAAACAGGATGTTGTCATAACAGCATCTGCCGTTGTCCCACTTCATACTGAGAAAAAACAGGATGTTGTCATGAACAGCATTTGCTATTGTCCCACACGGCACTCAGCATTTAGATTATGTAAATCAAGGGTAATTTTTCCATAGGTCATTGCCCAACTGCTCCCTCATTCTTATGTTTGTTTCATGGGCAGAGATCTGGGATCTGCTAAACCAGCAAAATTTTACCTAAATATATATATATATCAAAGTGATCTCTCTAGTAAGAGGTATGGAAGCCAAATTACTAGAGATCAGACTGAGACTTGAACAAGGAGATGAAGCCATAGTTGAAGTAACTCAGAACTTTTTCCAACTAAAATAAGTCTCTAAAACGTTACATGGTCATAGAATGGTCACAATGATACATCTTTGGGGCCCTTGTAAAATATGTTCTCATACTTATCAGTCATGAAATGTGCACTGTAATGATAGTTGAAGTAGGCGTAAAGTTCCTGGTCTGGCAGTGAAAGATATTGTTTGTTTGCTGGCTTTTAGTGCCTTGTACAGCTACTAAGTTGTATCCTCCCCAGGGAAGTGAGATATTCTCTACATTCAGTCTGAATCAGGACCATGTTATGGTATAAACTTGAAAATTAAGTCAGTCTTAAAAATTAACTGGAAGATGATTCTCTGCAAAGGAAATTTTTTAGTATGGCCAGGTCAGTTTCATGCATTTTAAATAATATATTAATTAATTAAATAACAAGAAGCAGTAAAGTTGCCCAGACATTATCAGAGATTATTGACAGAATTTGAACGAGAACATGTTATTTGTTGCCTGTCCAATCTCTGCACTCTCAATATTCTCTTACACACAGGAAAAGTACCAGACAGACAAATGAAGGGATATGAAGTCCAAATTTTTTAATTAAGAATGTGGTAAACATGCTGTCAGTATTTGTGTAAGTGGACATGAATTTCATAATTTCAGCTCAGTTATTCAACAATGTAAGTCATTTATTTCCTAGTCCCAATTAGCAGTTTGGTTAATGAGGCATATTGTGGGCAGAAGAAATCAGTAAGTAAGATTTACACTCGTTATGATAAGGCCTTGATAGGATGTATCATGTCGTTTCATCATTTCATAATTGACTTCATCACAGGCAAACAAGAGGATATCATTATAGTTATCCTGTATTTTGGGGTTTCCTTGACAAAATTCTAAAACCTCTTGGAGTTGCATCCGCAGACAGTGCAGGAAATCATAAAGTTAGTTTTGTTATCAATTAAAAAGGAAGTGAATTATTTCACCTCCCCAACACACCAACGGGTTGATGTCAATGGAGTGAGGAGGATGCATCACAGTGGACATGTTATTATCTTTTGGGTATTTTTATCTCAAGGTCATTGAAAGTCATTGGACTTCTCTTGTGTTGTTCCTGTAAAATTTATACATGTAGATCTTTCATCCTACTGTTCCTACTCATTATTATTTATACTGTTGAATCTTGATATTAGAACAGTGAGTCTGCCCCCCTCCCCCTCTTCTTAGCCCTCGGATGTACAACAAGAAAAGCAAGTTAGACAAAACCAAACCATTTTTACATCCTCTAACACACAATAAAGCAGTACAACTGTCTCTGTTTACAGTTAACAACATATATTTTTGTCTTTTTGGCTTCTGCATAAGGTTCTATCAAGAAAGCGCCTCCTTCAGTGCAAATGATCAACTATGTTCTCAAAACTTAATGAAAGTTTTTTTCCCCTTATTATTTTTTTTCTTCTGAATCATTTGCTGTATATGAATTTTTTAAAGTAAATTATATATCCACTGTCAATACATTGTCAAAAGCAAAAGCTTTGCAATTAACATGGGTATTAATATTAATTTAAATTTATTTAATGAAAAATTGATTTTATTTATTATTATTGCATTCATTTTGGTGACACTGGCCCTGTACTACAAAACCACATTTTGTATTACTCTGAATTTGCTAAGTTGCTCTGTTCAGTATAAAGACAGGTGCCTTTCCCCAGTGCACCTGAAAAGGTCTTAATCTACATTTTTGAATTACAAGTGATCTTATATGGTCTTAATGACTGCATTCAAAACACTAGATATACTAGTCTGTGGGTCAGATATAGCTACCTACTAAACAGCTTGCCATCTAATCCCCTAATAAGCACTGAATAGATTTCCCTTGGGGAAATATTCAAGTGGTCAGCCATAATTGACCCTCGGACTAGTAAGTCCACTAATCTGAATGCGGCCAATAATTTAGAAATGATTTTTCCATGGACTATCTCTCATTTTAAGATCCAAATGATCTTAACCTGAATAAGTAAGAGCATTATTGGGCTGACATCTAGTTAAATGGCTAAGCAATTATAGAGGGAGACAATTGCATAAACAACGTAATAACTGGAAGTCAGTCCAATGAAAGTCTTACTCATTGATTAACACTGTGTAAGATCAGCTGACTTGTGTTAAAAAAATCAGCATATTTCTTGTAAACTTTGTAGTCTAGTTATAACATCTTTAATTATTTATTTTAATTAACTGATCTTTAAACCTTAGGCTATTTATCATTGATTTTATTTATTATTTTTACTATTTTATTATATTTAAAATAAGTTTTGTATTTGTTGTTTGAATTTGCTTTAGTGAAGCATCATGATTACCCAGTTCAACTTTGAAATCTATTTCTTTGTTTCTAAATGTTTTTCTTGTTTTGTTAAGAATTTTACAGATTCTGTTCTCTTAACAAAAGAAAAAATGGTAAAATATGGATTAATACATATTAAATAGTAAATAAATAAATAAACGAAAGATAGATAAGTGGATTTATGGATACGAGGATCAATAAATAAATGAAATTAATAAAAAAAGTTGAAAAAAATGAATGTTCACCTACATTTGAATCTTTTCAGGGTACTAAAGAAGAGATAGAGGAAAATGAGAATGACAATATGGCAGCAGAGAATGACCTTGCCAACCAAGCACCACATGACCACCTTCAACCAATAGGAATCTGCAATCACAGCCACTTAAACGTTCCAGTGGATGTTCAGAGCCTTTGGATGAACCAGTTTCGCAGACGAAGCTCAAATTTAAGTGACATTTCCTCACGGCGTAGCAGCTACAGCACACGCCAGAGCTCTGACTTCAGTACAGATTTTGAGGAATATTATGAAGGATTTCAACAGAAAGAGATGAAGAAACGCCACAGTACTATCAAAGAAGAATCGAGCACCTCTCAGCCGAGACTCTCAGACTTTGCCACAGCGTTGATCTCGCAGTTAATGGAGGACAGTTGGAAGGTGGTGCAGCAGAGTTTGGCAGGGGTACAGGCCTTTGACAGCTGCCAGCCTGCTGTGAAAATGGTCAGACCTCTCCCAACCCGCGGGATGAAAGGGCACCAACTGGCAGCCATTTCACAAGAGTCGTCCCAAGACCTCAGTAACAGTAGTGGTGACTCCACCACAGAGGAGGAGAGCACTGAACAGGAGAGAAAAGTACAGTTTGATCGTCTTGAAGGACCTCATATTGAAGAGTCCACCAGGGAGTATGTGAACTCTCTTGTAGAGGGGGCTGTGAGTATCCTCAGAGCTAACCAATCGAAAGACCTGCTTCCACAGGTACCTGACGGTAATTCTGCAGCTGTGAGTAGAACTGATATTGATCCTCAGGACAGTTCAATACCACACATACAGGGGAAACACGGGACAAATTGTACAACTGGCAATGACCTCAGCAGTGACCTTGACATTTGTGATGACCTTGGCCTTTGTGGGAAAGCCAGTTCGACCAAGAAGAGATTGCATAGTTCAACTTCCACAGGCAGAACAGCTCAGCCTGGAGGCAAAGACACATTTGCTCAAGTTCTTCTCCAAAAAGTACTTGGCAGTGAAGCAGGCTGTCAAAAAGAAGAGGAGTTAAGTGCCAAAGGGGTGGAGTCTTCTCCTGTCAATCAATGTACTGACAGCAGTACAGGTGGTATGGTTGGAGAGATTTTTTCTAAAACATTGAATGAGGCAACACAAGGCATTGCAGCAGTTCTACGAGGACCAATTGCAAGTGGGGATGAGCTGCATGACCTTTATGAATTTAATGACCTTGACCTTAGGGGCACATGCCCAGTTGACCTTAACCCTGAAGAGAGGTCTTGGCCTCCTCCACCCAGAGCCTGTGTTGGAGAGTCATCTATGCAGCAGGACAATGTGCCAAACACAAACTACGTAGACCAGTGTCAAATGAGCAACTGTCTAGCTTTAGGCGAAAGTCATCAATCATTTTCAGTTGGAACAGAAGTTGTTGATGGTTCAGAGATCTCACAGGCTCACCGCAGTCATGCCTTCACAACTCAGTATAGGAACTTGGACCAGTATTCTAGTACATGTGCCAAAATAGTTCTCTTGGATGCATTCAGTGTGCTAAGGAAGTTTTACAAGTTGCACTCAGACTGGAAAGATAAACGGCGAGGGAGTGTGCCTTTAACCAAAGACTCGAAAAACATTGGAGCTGAAATTCTTGCTGGAGAGTTTGCCAAAGGTTTCCGGTCAGATGAGTTAACAAGGTTTGCATGGTTTACATATTATATCAGTATTTAATTAGGCTCTGAGCATTAACGCTTACCAGGAAGGTTGCAGTAAATTTATTTATGTATGACCTTATTACATTCTCTTTGTAAATTATCCATAGGGAACTTACTTTATCTCAATAGTGAATACTTTAATTGCATGGTTCATGCATAAGTAAAAGAATTAAAGAAGAACCAGATTCTACAATTTTATGCAAAACACCTCCAATAAAATGAATCAAGTATGATGAAATTAATGTGTACTGAATATCTTCAGATTTGCAGAGGACTTGGTCAAAAGAAGTTCCATGACAGAGCTAAATAAACTCCCTCGGCGAGGAAGTTGTGGATTCCGAGACGCCACTCTCTCAGACTTTGCCGAGCAGCTCATGCACAGTAGCTCGGGAAGCCCATCATTTGAGATGTTCCAGAAAGTTCAAAACCGGTCTGTTTCAACTTCCCACAGGAAAAGTTTTGATTTTGGTAATTTAAGCCGTGGTGGTGGTGGCGGCAGCAACGGGACATGTCTTTATGATCAACCTTCTGTGGTGTCAAGAAGAGGTAGCACAGGTGGTATTAAGATGAGGGATATTTTCAACCTGAAGCCGTTCACAGAACGCCTGTCTGATTATGCAGATGATATTGTGAACGAGGTGATTCACGATGTCTTTGTAAGGTTAAGTCGTAGTGAGACATGTACAAGTGAGTCTGAATATGAGGACCATGACTGTAGTGCCTGTACCCATGACAGAGACTCTGATGTCGACAACAACCAAGAACCAGCACTGAACAATATGGCGGCAACCGTAAATCTGAATGATAACCAAAGCGTTTCAGTTTTAGCAGATACTGTCGATAACTTTGCCCAAACTTTATCAAGTAACATCATTCATAGTGCAGTTTCTGAAGTGGTTCATGAATTCTTGCCACTTGCACCTGAACAGGCGTATGGTATTCCCCATGATGTGTCACATGACCAAGGAACTGACCAGTCAGAAGATGAGTGGTCAGATGCAGCCTCTGGCCCAGACATAGAGGCTGTTGCCAAGGAAGTCGTTTCTGCAGCAATAAATACAGGAGTAGAGAGATATATTGCTGAAATGGTAAATTTTTTTTTATGTTTCATTGCTGATTTTTAATTGTTTTATTTACAGCATTCAAATTATTATGGTGTACAAATTGTCAAACGTGTGGAATTTGTCAATTCTGCAGACTGGTTATTTGTTTAACCAGGAAAAGACATGAATGGACATGATAATTATTGTTGAAGTGAACTGTCCACAATTAAAGTAACTGGAATAAGTTGGATCCCATCACTGGACCATGCTGATTTCTGATCTCCTCCCTCTCAAAATTCTGCAGCTCAATAGAATACATTTTAAAAATCTTTGTTTTTCAGGACATTCAACTTCCAATAGCCACGGGTAACTGGGGGTGTGGTGCATTTGGAGGAGACCCCCAGCTGAAGGCGATGATCCAGTGGATGGCGGCTTCTTCTGTGGATGCTCCGTACCTAGCCTACTTCACATTTGGGGATGAGAGAATGATAGAGGTAAGAAACAACTGGTTCGTCATATTGACAGGAGTGGTTATTTAATAAGTGAAATAAATGAAACCAATGACTTAAAAATGTTCTGATATTTGGCGTTGTGTGTGAGTTTTCTCTGAACACTATTCATAATTTATCATGAAGGTATTTTGTGTCCCATACTTTCAGTTTGAAGCAGTGGTGAAGTACATCTTAGGTAAAGGTTGGGCTGTGGGAGATCTCATGCAGGCAGTCCTGAACTACTGTGACCTTGCTACCAGTGAATATGAAGAAAGTCACATGGTCACGACGCAGTTTTTCCAGTACATATTCATGTTGTGAGAGTCCAGCCAGTTCAGTCACATTTCGTTGTACAGACTTAACTTGCCACCGGTGAATGAAATAAAAGGAAGTTTATCATTGATAGTTACACCAGTTTATCCAGTTTATTAGTGCTTTTTGAGTGCACTGAATTTGTTCACTTCTTAGTATTAACGAAGGGAAACTATGCCTGCCTGTATGGCTACTACACTTATCCCAGTATTTTTAAATCATTTGTGAAAACAATGTACATGCAGGCTGTAAAGATTGGCACCAATCAAGTAGACATTATTGCCAGTGCCTACTTTTCCAGTGCAAACTTTTCCACTACATACTTATCCTCGTGCTTTGAGAGTATGTAAGTACAAGCTCATCCTCATTCTGTAAGAGTGCAGTAAGTTTATCCTTATGCTTTTAGAGTATATACTCTGTAGTGAGTTCCTTCTCATGCTGTGAGAGTACAGTGAGTTCGTCCTTTTGCTGTGAGAGTACAGCGAGTTCATCCTTATGGTGTGAGAGTATAGTGAGTTCATCCTCATGCTATGAGAGTATAGTGAGTTCATCCTCATGCTATGAAAGTATGGTGAGTTCATCCTTGTGCTGAGAGTATATTGAATTCATTTTCATGTAGTCTGATCATTTTTATGATCACATAATAGGAATTTATATTGCAAACTTAAGAAAATTCTCTGTTAGTTTGGGTATTGGCCAGAGTTTAAGGCAACAGTAATCACATGCTAATAAGAAGTTATTGTAGTTTTGTTGAACAGAATTCTGTTTTAAAACTGCATGCTGCCTTGAATTTTTTTTTACCCTGAAGTATTTTTATTTCCAAGCAAGAACTATAAAGAACACTACACCTTTGAACCATGTGATATTGCAGTTGTTAAGTAAAAAATGCATTGATTTTTTTTCTTTTTGCTTTGCTTTCTTTGACAAACCAGTTGTCTATCACCTTCACAAATATTAACAGTTCTCAGAACTTCTGAGTTATGTGGACAGTCATTATTTCTGTGTTAAATGTTATAGCTTGCTGTGGTCATGTATCATAATTATCATACATGTCTTGGAAGCATTATAAAACCATAGTATCAGCCAATTAGATGAAGCACCATGGTTGTTTATGCCTAAATATACTCATCAAAACCTGTTGCTTTAATTTACAACTGGTGGCACATGCAGAAACGTGAAGTGCCATGTTCAAATCAGACCCAACTTGGACTTTACTTTTGTTCATAGTTGAATTGGTGATTAAATAGCTGTTATAGTACTGTAATTGCTTGATCTTTTCAATTGTGGAAATTGTGAATTTGACAGATACTGAATTTATAAGTCAATTTTTTAAAATTAGAACATTTCTGTTGAGTGGTAGCAACAAAACTAAAAAGCAGGCTACTCTATAGTTTTATTCTATGTGATCTAAGCACAACAAATGCTATATAGTCTATTTCTGTGAGAAAGATTAAATTTTTGTGATTTTATGAAATGACATGTCTGAAAATTTGATAATATTTGCCTGTTGGAAAGAGAATCATAAATATACTGTGCAACAGCAATGGCATTTGTTAAAGATGGCCCTCTGATTATGGTTCGCTGTCCATAGCAATGTGATCTATTGGCATGTGGTAAAAAAAGAGTTTGGTTAATTTTTAGTCTTAAAGTGAAGGTCAGCTAATGTGTCTGTTCAATTCCTTTGTGACATTAATAAGACTTTCTACCAATAATCAGTTCTGATATGTACACAGACAGACAGCTTAATTTGACATTGACTATTATTTATTGCTAAGTCATGACTGTCATCGCATTTGTTTCTCAACAAAAGTCTATCACAGAAAACTAAATATATTCTATTCCTCAAAGTTTTCTTTCCAAGTGCTTGCCAGAAGTAATGGGGCTAGTAAGGGGCCTGAATGTGAGAGGTTGGTTGGGGGACAAGTAGGGGGTGCATTTGTCAGGAACCAATTATAATCTTAAAATATAGTTTGGCACAAATGAAGTGATTTAAATTTGCAAGGAATTGGCTTGTTCTATTTTCATCTGTGTAAGCGGCTTGAAACGTGCTACATGTGTATTTACATAACTGTGCTACATGTGTAGTAACATAATATAAAAGAGTAGTTTACAATAATTTAATATGTATCTTGCTTGAGGCAAGTTTTTGAAAGGTGATTTTCACCATTGAAATTGTGCCACATTTTTCATTTATGAATGTTAAGTCTGAAGACATTGTTTTATGTTGACTGTGTACTGGTATGGCTTTATGTTTTGTCTGATGCCTCTAACTTATAATATGTCTATTGAGTTGGTCATTTAGAAGATGTTCATATCATCAAGTGAAACAAAGTATCATTTTACTATTATGTCAGTTTTGCAGAAAATAAATTTGACAACAACAGTTTCTTTTGAAGGTTTTTAGTGCTTTTAGGTATAAAATATAAGTATGAAGTTCAACACAGACTTCAAATGAATGTGTTTGAAACACCTAACTACTACAACTGTACCGATTTAGACAAATTAAACACTAATGGCAAAAAATTCGTATATTTATCCCGCAAAAAATTCATATTCAGCCTTTGTGATTAATAGCACATATCAAAGTGCATTTTGAATATATCTTGTTCACTGTTCATCTCACAGAGTGTATTGTTGAAAGGCATTTGATTTTACTCTGAGTCATAAAGTCTGATATTATTTATACTTACACTGAAAGTCATCTGGGGGTCAGTTGCACATACTAAAAGATACATAATTTTACAGGCATACAGCGCTCGTTATATCTTTGTAAAAGGAAAAAAAATCCTGAAAATTACACACACGTTCCCCTGCCCCAAGTTCTAATATTCTAGTTTTATAGTGACTGTCACTTTTTTCTTGGAGATAGAGGGTGGTGATTGCCACTACTGATGGTAAAAATGAGATTTCAAATTAAATTAAATACAATTAAATTAAATCTAGAGTCATAATAGAAGAAATTTTGGGACTTATGCTGTAAGTCTACCCCTGAAGTTTCTGGGTGTTATCAACCTCCTTAAGGTGCTTTTTTTTTTGTTTGTTTGACATGGTTTTCAAAAAGTAGGACTTTGAAAAAAAAACAGCAATTATACAATGTTTTGTGTCCATGGTTAAAAAATGACCTGAGAACATTCAATTTGATGCAAGCATTGATTATTTCAATCTTGTTTAATGACCCCATTCCACCCTCCCCCCCCAAAAAAAAAATAATAATAAAATAAAATAAATAAAAATCACTGTCACACTGCATAATTTTTCAGTATTTATTCATTTTTGTTGAAGTGTTCCATCAATGCAAATGCCAAAATAATTTTATGTTAGCAGTTCAATAGTTCTGTCTTATTATATCAGTCCAAATACAAGCTTAGAATAAATTAGGGAATGTGATAATGATTGACTTAAAGGCTTTAAAAGATTTGCACCTTTACATTACAAGTGTGGCAGGCAAATACTTTGCCTTTGGAATCACTTTCACAATACATAATCATGTGGGATTCTTTAAATTCAGATTCCATAAAAATAATGATAAAATAAATCATGCAATTGCCATATCACTTCAGTTCTAGTTATGTGGCAACTACAGTAATGTAATTATTTTTCCATTTACCATTTAATATGCTTGGAACATTTTCAGCTGGGACATTCTCGTTTTCACCTCTGTACCAGTTCACATCTTGCTGAAAGCATAGTCAGAGTCTCGCCATTTCATGTTTCACACTGTTATACCAGTGAGGCTTGAAGCAAGAAACAGTCGTCTACCAGAGCCAACACATGGCTTGTCAACACGTGGACTAGATGTATGATCTTTCTTACGGTACACTTTCAGGGGCAGATCCGGAGATATTTTCTGACAGTATTCCAAATTATCTTTGTTGATCCAACCTCCATTTAAGACCGTTTATCAACAGAAAATTACACACCCGTCAATGTAAATCTGAAAAATTCTGTCTCCTTTAAAACAGCTACCATCAGCCCCTGAATTTTTATATTCAAATTCAAAATAATATGATATGAAGATAAAATCTCTGTCAGAAAATGGAAATGAATGTGAAGTAATTGCTTATTTATTACATGGACTCCACTGTATACCCACACACCTATTCCTACCTTGGAATTTTTTAAAAATCTGCTTCAGTCCTGAAATGGAAGAGAGTGCGAAGTGAAAAACCATGATTGCAATGTGTCCCTAATGAGAAATGCCATCTTTCGAAAGATTTTCTTTACAAAAAGTGCAGTCACGTAGAGAGTCTTGCTATCCTGTCAAAGAATAGTGTACTGATACATGTAACAAGTCTACAAATCAATTTTTCAGCCTCAGCTACAACTGTTTAAGTAGTTATTTAACTTCTGTGCTTGTTTTGATAACAGAATGCCTGACTCATATGCTATTTAGTGTCTTTGGAAACCTAGAGTTGAAATGGGCCAATTTAGTTTTATTATCATCGAAGATATATATATATATATATATATATATATATATATATATATATACGTATATATATATATATATATATATATATATATATAAGCCTTAAAGGTTGCTTTTTATCACAAGTATTTTCACACACAGCATATATATATCTGAGAATCATCTACATATAACATCAAATTGAAACCAAACTGAGTGACTGTATCTTCAGTGGGTGAAGTATACAGTGTAAAGAGACTTCGACCAAGCGCAAAGCCTTGTGGCACACCACAAAATACATGTGGATTGCATGATTTGAAAACAGAAGATCATACAGTGTCACATCCAGTTAGATAAGGAGCTGTTCCAATAACCCTGTCACACTAGCAAGATCATTCTATCTCAGCAGGGATTCTTGCTAAGGCACAGTCAATGTAATCAGCTGCATTGTCTGGCACGCCCCCTCGCGAAGCAACAAAACATCATGAACCAGAAAGTTTTCCTGACTTAAACCAAGTACTTTCAGTTACAAAGGGGGGTGCCAGACATTTAAGCCACTTTAAACTGTATGCAATTAAGAGAGAATCCCTGAGTTGCATCAATCTAACTACCATGATAGGGTTATGGGAATGGTCCCTAAGCCTGAAACCTGGAGAGAATTGTACCAGTTATCCCAATACATTGAGCATAGGCAAACAAATAATGCTCATTTCATCTTTGTGTAATAGAAAAAAAATACCCTGGAATGGTCAGTTGCGTCCTCCTCCCTTCCCATCTCCAAAAATTGTAATATCCTACTTTTGAGTCACATTTATCATGGAGATTTAACATGGAATATGTTGATCACCACTACTGGTGGTGAAAATTGATACATTAAAATTTATATTATGTCTAAACAGAGAAATAATTTGTCTTAATAGATTAAAACCTTCCAAGCCAGGATTTTCCTGCCGAAAACTCATATTTAACAAGTTTTTTTTTTTTTTTTTTAGATATTGACTAAGGCCATTTATCTGTCAAGTTATGCTTTAAAAGTTTTTACTGTCCTCTGGTAAGTTCAACAAGAAGCAAGACTATATACATTCATGTTCTTAGAATATATTCAATATTCTGACTTGTATCAGTTTAATTCATGAATTTCCTGGATGTTACCATACCCTGGAGAGACCTGCTGAGCAATTATAATAACAAGGCAATGCTAACCACAATCTGGTTTAATGAAATCATATTCTAATGTTAGAGTAATGACGTATAGGGCAAAGTACCTCATAATGTGTCATTAACATAAATTTTATTCTAGGAATTAGATGTTGTTGAAGTCTAACATATTATAAAATACAATTGCACATTAAGGTATGCAATCAAAAAGATCAAGATTTTACCTGCAGAAATCACTTTCACAATTATGTAACATTCTTTAGATTAAATTTCAAATCAACATGTGCCAAAAATAATTTTAATGAAAGATCAAATGTGCGTCAGTCCTTGTCCCAAATTGCATACACCAAGTGGGGGAAAATTTTCCTTGCAAAGATTGCAGGAGATGCAGACACTTTTGAAGTACTTACTGATAACAAGTCTACAAATCAATTTTCAGCCTAAGCCATGTTATCATTAGTAGTTATTTAAACATATTTCAATAATGTGTAACAATTCATTGAGTCCAGAAGTAGATTTAGAGACGAAATAATTTGAAATTTCTTAATCTCACTCACTTCTGTTTCACATATCATGTTGCTCCCGATGCCCTTTGAAAAGTAATTAATTTTATTTATATATATATATATATATATATATATATTTTTTTTTTTTTTTTCCCCTATATATTCTATCTTAAAGTCACAAGCTCTTCAGATGAAGTAGGGTGGATGGCAACTGTATCATCAAAGTTCTTCTTGGTAGCCCCCATTTTGACTGCAACTGCAAACCCCTGCATCATCTCATCAACGCCGTCTCCAACGAGATGGAGTCCGATCACCTGAAATTATATTTCTTTTACAGCCATTCATGGAATACAAACCTTTGCTTATGCCATGGCCAGCGCTTCAAAAAATAGGATAATTGCACTTGTATTTGGCTTACAGGCTCGTTAAACTTTGTATTTTCATAAACTTTGGTTTGTCCATCCTATTGTTCTAAGTGTCAGCCATGGGGTAAGTCCTGTTTAACTACTGGCCATCCACTGTATGCGATATACAAGAGCAAGTTATATCTTGGCTGCGCCTTGATACAATTACGCTCTTGTGTGTCCCATATTTGGATGACTCGTGTTGTAACTAGTACGTATATATCTGTGAAAGCTGTTATGCCTCTCTCTTTCTCACACACAACCACTCATACACAAATTTCTTCTCTCTTATTCTTTCTCTCTCCTGCACACACACACACACACACACACACGCACACGCGCGCGCTCACTCTCTCTCTACCTCTCTCTGTCTCGCACAATGTCCCTAAAACTAAATAAGAGAAATTTAAACAGAATTAAAACAAATAACATTTACCAGATTCCCCTTTTCTTTGCAACCCCAAAAACAAAATAAAATACAAAATTAAATAAAAGCACCAATTCATCTATAGTGTTCTTCCTCTTTGTAATTAATATGTTAGGATAAATACAAGTAAACAGGGATTGTTTGTGTCTGGGATCAATGATATATTTTTTGTGTTATTTTATGATGTCGCACTGTGGAAGGCACAAAAGTCTCAAGGCACTCTTCACACAGTGGTTTGAGAGTTTGACAACTTAATAGATGGGCAGGACTAGTGCTAATATACGAGAAAGTCAACTAATAATAGTCTCCCATGATTGGCACAGCCAATTGGCAGGATTCATTTTGATTGGTATGTTAAAGCTTTGTGGAAGAGAGCCCGCCCACTGCAGCACAATTTTGTGTTATGATTGGTCAAACGAGTGCCATAGAGAAAACTGTACCTTAGGATGTGAAAAGGGCCTCAAAAGTTACTGCAAAGTAACCATGACTATCACCAACTCACAGCAGAGGCAAGCTGGCAGAGGTTGTTTTTTCAGTAATGTCTGATACTGAGGTTGTTGAAAAGGGTCCATCAAACCATCTTACCTTTTCCTGGGGGAGAAGGCACACCATCTTCATGGCACATTTGGACTTCCTCTGAGTGACGGCATAATACATGGGTGTAAAGACAGTTTTATAGATCTTGATCTTATCTTCTCCAAACTCCTTCACAGCCTCCTCTGAAAGACAGTTACAAATTAAATGTAGAAGCTAAAATCAGGATGCTATTATAATCAGTCCATGTAACAAACAAGCTGACCCATATAAAATTTCAAGATTTTAACAAGTTGAACTTAAATTTCATGCACACAACTCAATTTCAGGTGGGAAATTCAGAAATATATTTTGAAATATATAAAATTCAAATAGTATTAAAATTTAGAAAAGCACTCAGAGAGCCCAACTGCAGTCAAGACAAATAAAAATAAGTCATAACGATTGAAAGAACAGACTGATTAATTAATTAATTAATGGGTCATTACCAAAATCTTTCATTTCTCCCTTTGACCATTTCTGACCTATTCTGAAAATTTCATAATATTGGACCATTTCCAACTTATTCTGAAAAATTAATTTATTAAACAATTAATTAAGTTAATGAATTAATTGATAAAAAAAATTAATTCATGGATCATCTCCAAAATCTCTTTCTTCCTTGGGCTATCTCTTTCTTCCTTCTTTCTTTTGTGACCTATCCTGAAGATTTCATCAAAATACGTTCATTAATTTTTCTGTAATGCTCTCCACAGACAAATGCTCTTACTGTGGCAAAAATATTCACCTCCTGCCTTGTTGCAATATAAAAATACCTACTAGAATAAGTTTAATAATGCTATTTCATAATTAATCTTTGAGGTTGTCACTTTAAAGTGGTCTCTTCCCTGGTGATTGTGACAGAGACAAAAACAGGACGTAATCAAATCTTTCATTACTAAACTCAAACTTGGATAAGAGAGCAAGCAGGGATGCTGTTCAGAGGCGTCACTTCCCTATCGCGTACCAGTGTGATAATCAGACGTATCATTCAGTGGTGAAAGGAAGTCGTGTCGGAAGTTGATGAAATACTGAATCAAATTCAACAAACCCCTGATGAGAGAAGTTAGCTGATTAAATGTTATTTGTGAAGCAATAAGAGCTCTAATAGTCAGTGTGAGATCCCTGTCAGAACTGCAGAGTGGGTCAATGCCCAGACTGGAAACTAGCAGAAAGCAGATGTAAAAACACATGAAGATCTCTAATTCTGAAATGTCTGCTTCCATAATGAAAAGTAATTTTTAAAATAATGTAAGCCTAAATGATAAAATGCCACCGTACTTTCAATGATCCCTTTTTTAATTTCAACTTAAACTTTCAACTTTTCCTCTTAACAAGCAATTCAGCTATTGTTTTAAATTTTTCCATTTTTAGGTACTGGTACATGCGTTACTCTAGAGTTACCATGCTGACAAATAATAGTTGTNAAAAAAAAAAAACCTTTGCTTATGCCATGGCCAGCGCTTCAAAAAATAGGATAATTGCACTTGTATTTGGCTTACAGGCTCGTTTAACTTTGTATTTTCATAAATTTTGGTTTGTCCATCCTATTGTTCTAAGTGTCAGCCATGGGGTAAGTCCTGTTTAACTACTTGCCATCTACTGTGTGCGATATACAAGAGCAAGTTACATCTTGGCTGCACCAATTACGCTCTTGTGTGTCACATATTTGGATAACTCGTGTTGTAACTAGTACATATATATCTGTGAAAGCTGTTATGCCTCTTTCTTTTTCACACGCAAACACTCATACACATATTTCTTCTCTCTTAATTCCCTTTCCCCCTCTCTCACATGCACTCTCCCTCTCTCTTTCTGGCACAATGTCCCTAAAACTGAATAAAATACAATTTAAGCAGACATGAAAACAAACATTTACCTGGTTCCCCTTTCCTTTGCAACCCCAAAAACATAATACAATACAAAATTAAATATAAGCACCAATTTATCTATAGTGTTCTTCCTCTTTGTAATTGATATGTTAGGATAGATACAAGTAAACACGGGATTGTTTGTGTCTGGGATCACTGATATATTTTTTGTGTTATTTAATGATGTCGCACTGTGGAAGGCACAAAAGTCTCAAGGCACTCTTCACACAGTGGTTTGAGAGTTTGACAACTTAATAGATGGGCAGGACTAGTGCTAATATACGAGAGAGTCAACTAATAATAGTCTCCCATGATTGGAACAGCCAATTGGCAAGATTCATTTTGATTTGTACGTTAAAGCTTTGGGGAAGAGAGCCAACCCACTGCAGCACAATTTTGCGTTATGATTGGTCAAACGAGGGCCATAGAGAAAACTTTACCTTAGGATGTGAAAAGGGCCTCAAAAGTTACTGCAAAGTAACCATGACTATCACCAACTCACAGCAGAGGCAAGCTGGCAGAGAAGGTTGTTTTTTAGTAATATCTGATACAGAGGTTGTTGAAAAGGGTCTATCAAACCATCTTACCTTTTCCTGGGGGAGAAGGCACACCATCTTCATGGCACATTTGGACTTCCTCTGAGTGACGGCATAATACATGGGTGTAAAGACAGTTTTATAGATCTTGATCTTATCTTTTCCAAACTCCTTCACAGCCTCCTCTGGAAGATTAAATGTAGAAGCTGAAAACGGGATGCTATTATAATCAGTCCATGCAACAAACAAGCTGACCCATATAACATTTCAAGATTTTAACAACTAAATTTCATGCAAACAACTCAATTTCAGGTGGGAACTTCAGAAATACAATGTTACTAGAAAAGCACTCGGAGAGCCCAACTGCAGCCAAGACAAATAATTTTGCCATAACAAATGAAAGAATTGACTGATTAATTAATCAATAAATGGATCGTCACCAAAATTTTTTCATTTCTTCCTTTGACCATTTCTGACCTATTCTGAAATTTTCACAAAATTGGCCCATTTCCAATTTATTCTGAAAAATTAATTTATTGAACAATTAATTATTAATAAGTTAATGAATTAATTGATAAAAAAATTAATTTATGGATCATCTCCAAAATCTTATCCTTTCTTCCTTGGGTCTTTTGTGACCTATCCTGAAGATTTTATCAAAATACGTTCATTAATACACATATTGCGTACTGCTCTCCACAGACAAATGCTCTTACTGTGACAAAAATATTCATCTCCTGCCTTGTTGGAATATAAAAATACCTACTAGTCTAATAATGCTATTTCATCATTATTCTTTGAGGTTGTCACTCTGAAGTGGTTTCTTCCCTGGTGATTGTGACAGAGACAAAAACAGGACGTAATCAAATCTTTCATTACTAAACTCAAACTTGGATAAGAGAGCAAGCAAGGATGCTGTTCAGAGGCGTCACTTCCCTATCGCGTACCAGTGTGATAATCAGAGGTATCATTCAGTGGTGAAAGGAAGTCGTGTCAGAAGTTGATGAAATACTGAATCAAATTCAACAAACCCCTGATGAGAGAAGTTAGCTGATTAAATGTTATTTGTGAAGCAATAAGAGCTCTAATAGTCAGTGTGAGATCCCTGTCAGAACTGCAGAGTGGGTCAATGCCCAGACTGGAAACTAGCAGAAAGCAGATGTAAAAACACATGAAGATCTCTAATTCTGAAATGTCTGCTTCCATAATGAAAAGTAATTTTTAAAATAATGTAAGCCTAAATGATAAAATGCCACCGTACTTTCAATGATCCCTTTTTTAATTTCAAATTAAACTTTCAACTTTTCCTCTCAACAAGCAATTCAGCTATTGTTTTAAATTTTTCCATTTTTAGGTACTGGTACATGCGTTACTCTAGAGTTACCATGCTGACAAATAATAGTTCTAATGACATTGTGTATGTTTGTTGGTTGAGAAAAATAAAAGAAACATATGTTGGGCAATGAATGCATGCATTGAAACCACCAAGGAGAAAACTAGGCAGGCTGAAGAAAAGATTTATGGAAGTTATCAACGAAGATATGCAGGAAATGGGAGTAAAGGACCGCCATACACTGGACTGGCATGGGTGCAGGGTTGCAATTCCATGTGGAGACCCCTGAAAAGGGACAAAGTCAAAAGCCAGAGACGAAGAAGAAGACACATAATAGAAGCAGAAGTAGAAAAATAAGAAGTGGCGGAAAAGGAAGGGAGACATAGGAAAAGAACAGATCTGTATTAAGCTTAGTAGTGCAAGTCAATGTATGTATTGAGTAAATCCCAACAAATAAATAAAATATCATGGAAATGATATTACAGTAAATGTCCAGCAACCGCTGTCGCACACTCAGTCCCACACATGCACACACACATGCACACACAGACAGACACAGTAGACAGTGTTTCCTCCCTCTCACCTTCTGTCATTCCTACGGTTCCCACGGGTGGGTGGCTGAATACAACTGTTGCGATGTTCTCATACGCCAATTTCAGATCCTTCTCATTATTGAAAAGTCGATGGACAAGACGCCTGCCAGCTGCTATAGCAACTACAAATGTCATACGAAAATTGTTATTCTACTTAAAGATCTCTACATTAAGGACATACACATAATTTATCAAATGAAAATGAAATAATGCACATTATACGTAATGGCAGGTTTAAAAAAAATAATATAATTTTATTTCAGAAGAGGTCTTTTCATGCCAAAATGGATTTATTTTTCCAAGATAAATAGTAAAACTCCAGTGACTCATTAGTGTGTCACACACAGCAGTCTTAAATGAGACTGCTATCAGTATGTGTACTAGATAGCTAGACTTTGCCACTCTGGGGTGTGAAGGGCAGGTTTTGCAGTGCAACAATTAATTATATATACCTGGAGTAAGCAGGAACTTTCCACAGACATCGCCCAAAGCATATATCCCCTTGGCAGATGTGTTTTGAAACTCGTCCACAATGATGTGCCCCTTGCTGTCCATTTGAACGCCCTGAAGTAAGAATGCAAAGTTCGCTGGTTTATTTCATAGAAAAAGGTCTACGAAGGTAAAACTTGAGGACTTATTCCCAATGAAACTATTGTTCTACGTAGTCTGATCTATCTGTCCTGTTGTTTCCAACATACTAACATAATCACCAGTTTTTCTGTATTTAACTCAATGCCAGGAGGAGGGGTGTTTATCTGTGTATCTGATTGCCTTCAGCAGGAGTCCCCGCAGATTTGGATTGATCTACGTAGAATGTTAGTTTTACTGGGAATGGGCCTTAAACTCTAAATTTGTTAAGCATATCGATTCTAGATAGCTAAGAAAAGTACAGCTTTCCTCAGACAGTTTCAGTCATCACTGACTACACTTTAGGTTTACTTATAAACCCTGTTAGACGAAACCAGGCTAATAAAAACTATGTTCTATAGTCTACAACTGGTTGTTATAATATTATCATATAATATTCATGGGTAGTCTTCAGAAAAAGTATGCTCATTAAGCTGATGACGTCATATCAGTGGTTGTTTTGAGAAAGTGCTGTTTTCCATTTCTTGATGTTTTCATACCTGGGCTTGTTTCAGAAATTTTCAACAGCAAATAGTACATAGCCATGTGTAAGTACTATGGGGCATTGCAACTGGTTTTCTTGAAGGAATGCCATTTAGATATTATCACTTGTAACTATAAATTTCAGGGTATTTCAGGGTATACAACCCTAAAAAGTAAAAAATGCTCTAATAAAAATGAATTATTTTATTGCAAATCCAACAGCAAGCCATTGACTTCACAGCCTTCAGCTTTTGTGCTGTTTGCAATTTCTCAGTTTAATTATGATCTGTATCTTTATTTATTTATTTACTCAGGTAAAACAAGAGTTGTGCTTGAGGGGCATGCAATAGAGACAACTGACCAGTTTTTCCACACCAAACTTTGTGCTTGGTATCCTTCCTATTGCCCAAATGAGACATGTTACGCCAGTAATTTGTCCACCAGAGGTCTCTAGTGTAAGGGTGCCATCCGCTTCTTTGGTCACAAGTTTTGTCTGAAAAATTATACAATCTTACTAGTGATCACTTTCTTTACACTAAAATTGTTTTACATAATAATGGGGAGGTAAATCATAAATTAAAATTATCTTTAAGAAAAAAGGGAAACAAAAATGCATGTAGAAATTCTGGGCCAAAGTACTGCAAATCTCAAAACCACATTGACAAAATGGGGATAGGAGGATAAATTTACACCTTTAGCCATTCTATGCACCTGTAACCAGATTTCAACACCTGTTACACATTCTATTGTTTAAGTGTGAAAGTGTTAAAGGTACATATGGACTGAGCATCTGTGGGGCGTGGATTCACAGTAATACACATAAACCACTTTTAGTTTCTTATACGACTCAAATAAATTGGAAATGCCAGGAATAAACCTAAATAAATCACTCACTCAACCATAAAAGAGCTTTAAACTGTTCCTCTCTTAAAATTTTTGGTCATGAATTTAACCCACTTACTTATCTGCCTTTGGGCCATTCATACAGAGCAAAGAAAACTAGCAGAAAAATCTTTTCGGGTAATATTAAATAATACGTTTGGCAATTCTCTTAATAATACTATTTGAGATGATATGCTGGCATTTGGTTGGCTTTTGTGGCAATCTTTGATTTAAGGTTCATCCTGCTTATATTAAAACAATACATTCCAATTTCACACTGCAATAAAATAATATGAACATATACATAATAAATTATGTAGATCCTACGGCCAACATGATAATAAAAATATTAATAGTAATAATAATAATAGTTACTTATTCAAAATTATAAAAAAAGAAAAGATTTCTGGCATTTCAAATTAAAATAATGTCTAATTTTAAACAAACTATTTTATATTTTATGAAAATATATGAACTGTCAAATGCATATCATTTAACCTCTCCTGCAAAGCATTTCATAACTGCAAAATATCATCAATACATGTGCTTGTCTGAAACACCCAACAGGTGTTGTTTTTTTTCTTTGCCCATATCTCCTATTTATTCACCTGTTTATTTTTTTCAAATTAATTCATGCATATTTTGAATTCATCTACCTGTGTTTTCCTGAGGACTTTCACTCCAGCTTCTTCCAAGTTTTCTGTGACTGCGGCACTAACCATGGAGTCAAAGGTGCGGAGAACCTGGAAAAGAACATTCAAATTAAAGGGAGTTTAATATGATAATAAACAGGGGCTGATTTGGGCCGTCTTCTGGGTCTTCCAGAAGACGGTCACATTTTCAAAGTGACATTGACAGGTGTCTAATTTTTTCTGTCGGAAGATGGTCAAAATGAAGAATAATTTGGAAGACTGTCAGGAAATATCTCTGAATCTGCCCCTGATAAAACCTTACTTAAATCACTTTTCCCCCCACGTCTCTTTTGAATAAAATACAATCTTAACATTAGTGAAATAGAAATAAACATTTCAGGAGTAAAACTCACTCTTTTGTTTTTTATTCACCATCCTACAATTTTTTTGCATGGAGGTGCAGCCATTTGGTTTTACATTATTTATTATTTAGTACAGAAAATATGACTAAGGAACATCTTTAAATACTGTTAGTTCATCGGACTTGCCAATCTGAGAGACATTACAGAGGGAAAATTGCCATCACTTACTTTTATGGCTGCTATATGAAAGGAGAGGAAGAAATTATTTGCTTGGTTCAATAATTGGTTTGGTGTTGGTAACAACAGCGGGAGTCACCCTGTGTTGCTGGAGCAGTAACACCTTGACAACTGAGCGGCACAATATACTATTATTTTAAGGGTTTTATCATTTTAAAGGAATGAATGGGGAAGATGATTATAAGTACTTGTGCAGAATACATACACACTATAGAAAATATTACTTAGGAGCATTTTGTAATGCAGATGGTATACCATTTAGTCTACCATTCCCTGTATAAATCTTCCCTATTAGAAACATGCACAGAGAGAAGTCAATGTAACTTAGTAACCTAATGTAATGAAACATCTCACAATTATAATTAGCAAAGGCTCAAGGTGCTACTAAAAATAGCACTGCATTCAAACCACATCCTTCCTAGCTAGTGGGCAGATCGCAACTGGTTATCTTTTGCTTCTGTGTGCCTAGAAACCCCCAGTTGTGATCCTGCAATGATTTTTAACAGCTGCCATATCAGCTCACTTATCAAAAAATGAAGAAAAAAACTCTTTCAAAATCTTTAAAAGAAAAGCAATGGAGCCACTCTCCCAGAACTCTCCTTGCCATGATTTGTAGAGATGTCACCATAAAGGAGAGGAAGGGGAGGGGAGGGGGACTTCCTATGGCACCTGGGTCTTCTTTTCCTGATAAAGGTGTCTTAAGCTGTTGCTTCAATTATTACTGTAAATAGAATTGGGGTATTATCTTCACTGTGTGTGTGTGTGTGTGTGTGTGTGTGTGTGTGTGTGTGTGTGTGTATATATATATATATATATTATTTTTTTTTTCCCCTGGGGTGGGGGTGGGGGGAGGGGAGAGAGGTAACTTTCCCACTTACCTTATCATATCTGATCATTATAGATGTATCAGAACCCAAAGCATTCAGAATTCCAGCAAGTTCCACAGCAATGTAACCAGCTCCAACGACTACTGTCTTCCTGTTAATAAATATTTCCCTTAGATATATGTCAGTTTATCATTTTATAAACATATCACTGTATACTGCAGATTCATCAAATTTCAAATCATTTTCGAAGTGGAAACTTTTATCAGGTCACATAAAGTTTCAAGTTAGTTCATCTGATACCAAATAAAAATCTTTCCAAAGATTTCTTCGTGATAAATGATAATTTTAATAAATTTAATTAAAATTCGATTTTTAAGGTGATAAGTCATGCAGACTATATTTCCAGCTATTGCAAGGATGCAAAAAAGAAGGGAAAACATTTAAGTTTCAATTCAAAAGATGATTCTTCAACATAAGATCATTCTTTATCATAAGGCCAGCACCCATAACTTGCTTAAAAAATAAAGAAAGAAAGCAGCAAAACCGTCAAATGGACAAATATGTGAATGACACAACTGATAAAAGTGTTGTACAAATATTAAGATATTCATTTAAGATACCTTTTCAAATAAAAAAGCCAACCTTGTGCTTGCGTTTATCCTGTACATATGAAGTAATATCAAAACCACATAACTTTCAGAAAAATAATCCAATCAGGCTGGTTGTCAAACTACATCTGAATTCTATATTTACTTAACCCTAGAATTCCCAATTGCAAAATTGAGAATGACAAGTTACAACCTTTTTTATATAATGCAGTTAACAAGAAAATGCAGGTCTCAAAGCCCAGACAACATCTGTCTATATATAAGCAACAGAAATCTTAAGTTATAACACAATTTTACATGCAATTTATCTCACTCAAACAGAAAAACCAAGAACACAAGCATAGAACACTGTTTGATCACAATACTTATGGTTTGGTTTTGAATTGCATTAACAGTTGTGTCAATTTTTATTTTTACCTCATATTTTATAATTTTTGGTTTAGTTTGCAACATTATATCTACTGTATGTTATTTTCTTTAAGTTGATTGCTTATTACCCCAAATTACAAACTACTCCCTGAAGAGAAACTTACTTTGGCAGATCCTCAAGTTCAAAGAACCCATCACTTGTTATTCCATGCTCAGCACCTTAAAAGTATTCAATGAATTTGATCAATTATGGCTATAAATATATGAATAAATTTCAGCTAACTGATAAATGACCACGTTACACATTTTAAGACATACCAAAAAAACAGATAAATTCAAATTATACAGTGATAAATAAAAATCTGTATGCCACATCTTGTCCTTCTGTACCACCTAACACACCGCCATATCTAACACACTGTCACACCTAACACATTGTCA